AAAAAAAAAAAAGAAGAGGACATTCGGACAGAGACCAGGGATGTGCACTCTGAGAACAGGCCATGTGAGGACACCGGGAAAAGGGGGCCGTCTGCAAGCCAAGGAGAGAGGCCTCAGAGAAAACCAGCCTGCCAGCACATGGATCTTGGACTTCTAGCCTCCAGAACTGTGAGAAATAAACTTCTGTCCCTGAAGCCCCCAGTCTGTGGTACTATGTTATGGCAGCCAGAGCTGACTAAGACACTATGTGAGTGCTTGGCATGTACTTTACCTCATAGGGTGGGTTCTTTTATCCCCATGTTCCCAATAAGGAAATGAGGCTCAGAGAGGGGTGGAGACTTGCCCAAGGTCACACAGGTGTTAAGTGGTGGAGCTAGGCTTCCACAGCTGGAGCTCTCAGCCCCTCCAAGAGGTGGGGCTCAGAGGAGAGGGGGCAAGGGGCAGTGCCAGGCTGAGGTCACTCACGTGGGTCTCGATGCTGAGGAAGTTCAGGCCATTCTGGTTGATGGCAAGGATGCAGGGGGCCAGCACAGCCACATTGCTGCAGCTCTGGATGAAGAAGAAGGAGGAGCCGAACATGGGTGAGGCGCTGAGGAGGCCTGGAGTGGGAAAGGGGTGATCAGCGTGAGGGGCTCAGCAGTGACAGCCAGGGCCCTCACCTGCATGGCCACCTGCTGCCCACGTCTTTCCTCACTGTGGCTGACAAAGGAGTCCTCTGGGTCCCCCCCTGCCTCGTCATCCTCCTGTCTCTGCACCTTCCTCTCTCCCCGCTCACAGCAATTCTCCCCAATTGCCAGCTCTATCTGCCCAGGGCTACTCAGAGCCTAGGTGGTGCCCCATGGTGAAAATTTTAGAAAGGTGTTCTCTTGAGACAGCTCTGCTTGGCTAGCACGGAAAATGTCTTTGTACAAAGAAAAAAGGTGCCCCCATCTCCACCCTTCAGCACCCCCTCCTCAGCAAAGCCCCCTATGATTATCTCCCCCAGCCCTGGACTCTTACCCAGAAACTGGGCACGGGCCTGATGAGGGCTGAGTGCCTGTGTCTGCTGCCGGTGCTGGCTGACCAGGTTGAGCCAGGCTGAGCCAGCCATGGTATGGTAGAGCAGGGCTGGGATGTACTCCTGGACCTCCCGCCTGGATGGTGGGAAGAATGGTCCTGAGTGCTTGTCACCATCACCACATGAGCTCTGCACACACAGTCTCATTCAATCCTCACTTCAAGGCAGGTGTTATGCACAATGGATGCGATCTTTGCACCTCCCTGGAAGACTAAATGCTGGAAAGTGCTGATGAAGATAGATATAAAGTGCTCACACAGTATGTTGGCACACAGTAGTTGCTCAATAACTGCTGGCCAACACCACTAGGCTCCCTGTTTGAAGATGAGGGGACTGAGGCTCTGAGAAGTTCACTGGCTTGTCTAAGTCACACAGTAAGCAAGTGAGGGCTGAGACTTGAATCCAAGGCAGGTTCATCCTCTGTAGCCCCTGCCTCCAAGGAGAAGCCCAGGCCAGAGGGTGAGAAACACCCAGGGTGGGGGATGAATACCAGGGCAGGCAAAGCCGCCAACACCGCTGGTCAGAGCATGGGGAGAGGAATGCTGTGACCCCTCCTGCTCCTGAGGGGCCATCAGCCCCCCACCCACACTCCAGTCCCTTCTCTCTGACACATGTTGGCTACCTCCGGGCAACTCCTTCTCCTCTCAGGACATCTAGAAAATACCAACAGCTGTTCTAGTCTGTTCCAGCTGCCCTGGGCTGCAGACTGGGGAAGGGCTGGGAGAAAATCAGGGGAGCCCCATTCTCCGAAGAGACCCTGCCCCAGGTATATCTTTCCTTCTTTGCACTGCTGGGGTAAGACCGTGGCATCTGGACCCAGCCTCCCCAGGTCTGCATCCTGGTCCCCCACTCCCTCCGCATTAGCTGGGTAAGCTTCAGTAAACCATGTAACCTCTCAGGGCCTCAGTTGCCTCATCTGTATGAGGGGAAAATAAAGTGCAGTTGGGAAGATTAGCTAAGATAATGCACACAGAATGCCTTGCAAAAATTAAGAACTCAATGATTATTTTTATCCAGGATTGGGATTATACCTTTATGTGCTTCCTTTGCTTTTTGCATAAAACTACAACATCAAAGAGCTTTACATATTGAGCCCTTACTGGATTACAAGCACTAGGACATACACTGTACATACATTATCTTACTATTAGTCACACCAGTGATTCTCAAAGTATGGCCGAGGGTCTGGGAGGCCAAAGCCACTTCCATAATAAGTCTAAGATGTTATTTGTGTTTCCCCTCTTACTCTCTCACACATGGACGGTGGAGTTTGGCCAATGCTGCTACAAGAGACTGACTGCAGAAGCAGATCTGAGGATCCAGCGCCCTTCCATTAAGCCAGGTGGTAAAGAGATTTGTAAAATGCAAAACAGTTCCACTCTTCTCACTAAGTTTTTTGAGAAAACATAGTTTTTTTTTCAGAAGTTATTTATACTAACATGTAATGTTAATTTATATTATTTGTATTATAATTATTCCTCATATATTTTTAAACTATTAGTTATTTCCATTAACATATAACCTATTATCCTAAAATTAACTAATACATCAATATTTTATGTTGTTTCTCAGTTTTAATTTGAAAATGGTAAATATATCAATAGGTATAATACACATAAACAAAAGATCTTTGGGGTCCTATTTTTAGAGAGTAAAAAGGTACTGAGACCAAGTCTGAGAAGGACTGTTTTGTCACCTCTTTGAGAACATCAGTTTAAAGGCTGCCTAGCACCCAGGATTTATTGAAGGAGCCCCCTGTGTTGGACAGGGGCTGCTGCTGTATGCGACACCACTTGTGTGGCCAAATCTTTCTGCATGGCCATGTATATTTCCTTGACCACAGTTGTGTGTGTCCTGGAAGCCTTTTAATCATTAAATTTGCTCTGAGCTATGAATGCCAAATTGAAGCAACCTGTTGTGGGAGGAGGTGGGTTCCCAGCTCACGGTGAGCTGGCTGACTTCAGGCCCATGGCCAGGACAGCCCTTTCCCAGTCTGCCTGCTGGTGTGAAAGGGGCCCATGGGGGCCAGGGAAGAGCAGCTCTGAGGAGCGCGGGGTGGGGGAAGGGCTACCAGGTGGGCAGGTGCTCACAAGCTGGGCAGGTAGAAGTGGTCCTTGACCCGGTGCTGCAGTGAGGCCAGCTTGGACACTTGTTGCAGCTCCTGTTCGCTGGGCCGGCTGGCAGGCATGCTGCTGAAGAGGCCCTTCAGGTAGTCAGGCAGGACCTGTTGGGGAGCACTCCGATGAGGGGCTGCAGGCAGACATGCACTCGGGCATCCAGTCACAGAGGGAGTGCAGACACAACATGTTAATGGTTCCAGTCACATTCACTTCTGGGGGTGGGGTGGTCTGTCCCTTTCCTGGGCTTTGGGGACAGATGAAGGAGGAATGCGAGGGTGAGCGTGTGGCGTTGACGCCCACGACAGTCTCCACGGTGACCTGGGAAGCATGGGAGCATCCACACTGCGGTATGTGGGCGTGTCTGCTGGGCTGGGCTTACTGAAAGCTGAACATGCTCAAGTCACTAAAACAGGCCCATGGGCCGTACCCTTGGAATCTGATTCACGAGATCTGGGGCAGGACTTGAGGGTTTGCATTTTAACAAGTTCCCAAGGGATGCTGTTGGCCTACATGCCACACCTGGACCAACGCTGTTCCGGACTGCTTTGGGTAGTTGGCAACAGCGACTCCACGTGGCCACAAAAGCCAACTGACCGTATTTTGTACTCAGAATTGCTGAAGCTTTGGCAGCAGTTCCATAAAAACACGCATTCTCTGTCCAAGCACTTCCACAAATGTTAGCACAGGAGGGGAGAACTGGATTGTGTAAATCCCAGGACCCTGACTTAAAGGACCAAGTATCAAAGCGGAATAACAGAAAGAGAAAAAGAACAACAGTAGGTGGCTCAGTTGGTTAAGAGTTTGCTCAAGAGTGCGAGCTCTGAGCAACAGGGTCACCGGTTCAATTCCCACATGGGCCAGTGAGCTGTGCCCAGGCTGAGCTGCCACTGAGCTGCCAACAGGTGGCTGGATGGCTCAGCTGGTGAGAGCACGTGCTCCTAACAACAAGGTTGCCTATTCGGGATGGTGGGCTCTGCCCACCCGCAACTAAAGACTGAACTCCGCACCTTGAGCTGAGCTGCCACCTGGTAGCTCAGGGGATAGAGCACGTGCTCTTAACAACAAGACTGCCAGTTCAACTCCCACATGGGATGGTGGCTATGCCCCCCGCAACTAATTGAACATGGCACCTTGAGCTGAGTGGCGCAACTGGACTCGGAGCTGAGCTAGCTGTGCCCTCCACAACTAAGACTGAAGGACAACAACTTGGCTGTTCCCCTTCCCCAATTTCCCCAACACTGTTTCCCTCCCCCAACTCCCCAATAAAATCTTAAAAAAAAAAAAAAAGAACAACGCCAGCCAAAGCCTGCTTATGCCTTTGAGTGAGGAACAGGCCAAGTGCTGGGAGAAGGAGAAAATCAGGAAGAAAGGTGAAGTCAGAGGGCTCTCGTGAAAGAGGTGCTGTTTGGGGCAGCCTTGCTGGGGAGGACTTAGAAAAGCAGAGATGCAGGAAGGGCAGGCCTGGCAGAGTGATGGCACCTGCAAAGGTCCGAGAATTAGGCAATGAGGGTGACGTCGTTTGACCGCTCTGAGGAGACCACGCACAGGAGTCGAGGCACCCGGGGCTAGAAATGCCAGCAGGGCCCACCCAACGCATGAAGGCCCCAAACGCCAAGGCCACGGAGTCTGACCACATAGGCCTGAGGGAACTTGGAAGTTTCCAGAGTATCAGAGTGGCCCATGCGTGCTGACCTGGTTGTAGTGCATGGTCACGTATAGCTCATTCTCAAACTTGAGTGGCTGATCCCAGAGCACGCGCCGGAACCACAGCATGTAGCCGCCGTCCACCTGCTCCATCTCCGAGGCTACATCCAGGATGTAGGCGCTGCGGCTGAGTGGGCACACATGCTGGCCTGCAGAGAGCCAGGGGCAGCTGGGTGGGGCATTCACAGGCACATGTGTGTGCCCGTGCAGAACACACATGCAGACCCCAACCTGCCACCCAGGCGAGGCATCACCTTGGGCAAGTCCCCTCCCCACTTTGGGACACGGCGTCCTCAGTAAAGGAGAGCATATTACGGAACAGGGTGACCTGCGTTTGTGGAATGCTGATGACCAGAGATGGGAATACCTCCAATTCAAAGCTACAGCTCCCTAGGTCTAGGACAGTGTCTCGGGTTAGGCTCAGAGAAAGCCTAGTCCCTTTCCAGAGGAGGCTGGGGACAAGGAGAAGCACAATGGGCCTCAGATCAAGAGACCCAATGGGTGCCTTTCTGCAGAACTCCTTCAAGAGAGACCCCTGCTGGGCTCCTGGACGGGTGGGGGGTGGGGAGGACTGGGGTCTGGCATTGAGTGGGTCTGAGCCTGTAGGAGAAGCTTGTTTTTATTCTCCACACTGACATTTCTGCTCCCTGTCCCACATCTTCAGTAAAATTTTACCAAAGAGAAGGGGTGTGGCATGATGATAAAGTCCAGACTCATGAGGCCAGATTACCTAGGTTCAAATCCCAACTGTGTGACCTTACGTAAGTCCCTTAACCTCCATGGCAGGCTGAATAATGGCCCTGCCCCAAAGATGTCCATGTCCTAATCCCTGGAACCTGTGAATACATTACCTTCAAGGCAAAAAGGATTTTGCAAATGTGATTAAGGATCTTGGGATGGGGAAATTATCCTGGGTTATCCAAGTGAACCCAATGTAATCTCAAGGATTCTTATAAGAAGATGGGAGGGAGAGAGAGGGAAAGGGGGGTGAGAGAGGAGGAGGGGAAGACAGAGGGGGAGAGGGAGAGGGGCGGGGAGAGAGGGACACGGGGAGACGGGGAGAGGGGGAGATGCTACACTGCTGGCTCTGAAGATGGAGGAAGGGCCATGAGCCAAGGAATGCAGGCAGCCTCTACAAGCCGGAAAAGGCAAGAAAACAATTTCTCCCCTAAAGCCTCCAGAAGGAACCAGCCCAGATGACACTCTGATTTCAAGACTTCTGACCTTCAGAATTGTAAGACAAAAAATGAGTGTTGTTTTCAGCCCCTAAGTATGTGGTGATGTTACAGTAGCAATAGGAAATTACTACAGCCTCTGTGGGCCTTGGTTTCCCCATCTGCAAACGGGGATGACAGCAGTCTTCATTTCATAGGGTTGTTGTGGGGATTTAAAAAGCTGATAGAATTAAATGCTATGAACTGTGCCTGGGACATAGTATCTGCTCCATAAATGTCAGTTACTAGGACCGTTTTGTTACCGGCCTTCCCCCCACCACCCCACATGTCTTGGCCTGACTTGGGGCAAGCAGGGCTGAGGACAGACACATGCATGGTTCAGAGATGTGGAGGCAGTGGGGAGTGCTGGTTGAAGCAGATGAAGCCAACCAGCTGGTGGCAGGCCAGGCCATGGTCTAGAGTGGGTGGACGGCAGCTGGAAGGGGCTTTGGGCCACATGAAAAGGGCCTGGTGGGACCAAGGGTGGGGGCTCTTAGGGCCAACATCAAGGCATAAGTGGCAGGAAAAATGCTTGCACTTGTGGGTTCCAGGAGTCGGGACCTATTAAAGGAAACCTTCCTAGGGTGGAAGCTCCTTGAGGGTAGGGACCACTGAGCAAGCCCTGGGGGGCAGAGGGAGGAATCAGAGGGCCCCGTCCTCCGTGAACTCAAAGTCTGGTGGGTGAGACAAAGTTACACACCATGGAGCAGACAAGGACAAACAAAGGGCTGAAGGGGTTCTCAGTGCACAGAGAGGTCCTTCCACATGGGGGTCAAGGGGCACCCGGGAGGAAGTGGCATTTGACCTGGACCCTACAGGCCAAGGTGGTAGGCATGAGCCCAGCATGCTCGTCTTTCTGGACATTCACCTTGGTTGGTGACAACAAAGATGACGTACTCATTGAAGGCCTCAGGGCGTGTCAGAGCCATCTCAGCACAGATCTCTTCCACCACATCCAGGGCCACCTAGGGGGAGGGAAGAGTGAGGCTGTGCCAGTCAGGCTGACCTGTCCTCCCAGCCTGTCCAGGCCCTAGGAGGCCAAGTGCAGAGCTCCTCAGGCCCTCGGCATAGAGGCGAGGGTCCTCTAAGGTCTCTGAGAATCAGCTTCATGCAGAGAAGGAGCACGGCTTTTGGAGTCTGAGAGGCTTGTCCCTTACCCGCAGTATGACCTGAGCTGGAGGCTCCACCTCTCCAAGGCTCAGTCTGGTCTTCTGAGAACTATGCTCTGCCTCATGGGGCTGTGCAAGAGCCTGGGAGGTGACCAGTATTCTTGGGGGCCCACCCCGAAGACTGAGGTGTCCCTGCCCCTCCAGCAGCTGCCTGCGAGAGACATTCCCTCACTTACGGCACACGTTTTGATTTTGAGATGACGTTCGAGGCCTCCAGGAAGAAGAAAGAGCTGCCTCTTGGAACTGCGGCCCGCCTGGGACAAGGAAGGGCGAGGAGTTGGGAGAGGCTGGGTCCTGGGATCTGGGCCAGCCATTGTCCCCGCCATGGGCATCCCCAAGCCAAGAGGTTCTGGGCAGGCACGTGCAGAACACTTATGTACCTGGGCCTGACAGGGCCCATCTGCATGTAACTGAGCACACGACAGGGTCACTGGGCAAGGCTCATGTCTCACACTCATCCTGACCCCCGCCCTCACTGCACACTTACCAACATGGCCCGAAGCTCCATGCTGCTAGGGAGCTCCAGACGGCCACCAAAGCGCAAGGTTTTCTGCAGATTCTGCTCACAGGCCTTGGCAATCCCTACAGAGACAGGGTCAAGGCCTTGTTCAGGTTAAGCAGTAAGAGAAAGGGACTTCTCTTGTCAGCAGCCACAAGCTCACGGGGTTCTCGTCACAACCTGTGGTACAGGCTTTTACTTTCTGATTTGATAGTTGAGTAAACAGTTCAGACAGGGGCAGTGATTTGCCCAAGGTCAAGGGCTGGAATAGAAGAGCTGATTTTGAATGCACATCCCACGTGGTTAAGGCCTTTGGTCTAGACCAAGGGTCGGCAAACCACAGCTGGTGAGCCACATGTGGCTCTTTGGGTACGTACATGTGGCTCTGAAGTAAAATTGAAAATGAAAATAAAACTATCATAGTTTCACTTATAAAATTTTTAAAAGATATTATTCACATAATGGTGATTTCATTTGTTTTATGGCTCTTGAATACTTTTTAGATTGTTGTGAGGAATAGGATTTGCTCTTCCGTCTCAAAAGTTTGCCAACCCCGTGGCATAGACCACAATCCCCTGGGCTGCCTATGAGCCCTGGAAATAGCTGTCACCTTGAGCTGTTGACTGGGGAGCTTGCCCCTAACAGGCTGTGTGATGATGGTGATGCAGCTGTGCCCCTGCCAGCTGGGAACCCCTGGTCAACTACCTTCTCTCACTCAGGGGCCCAGTGCAGAAGACTCCGCCATCTGCTTCGCATTTCTCTGGCTAAGCAGTGCTCTCACCCTGCTCTGGGGACGGGTCAAATCCAGAATTTTAGGGCACATTCAGCTGCCTTCATGACTCTGGGAACTCTTTCCTGGAGCTGGGCCTATTTACCTCTGAGCCTGAAAGTGTTTGTGAATTGAATCAAAAAGGATTCAGAGACAGAGAAAGGGAAGTCCCCCTAGCTCTTTCATGGCTGCTACAGTCAGGGACCCAGTAGTTGCCATGGAAACAAGGCTGGAGGTGAGGCCGAGGAATGGCCCCTTTTCTCCACACTCCAAGGGGGAAAAGGCTGAGACCTTGCCAGCAGCTTTGGGCCCACCCCCACCTGGACCCAATCAACAAGGGTTGATTGCCAGAAAAGCAAGGCCTCACCTCAGTACGCCAGGCCTTGCCACCTCCTTCTCTTCTTCTTCCAGATGCCACACTTTTCCACCTCCAAGCCTTTGCTCCTACCACTCAGCCTACCTAGAAATCCCTCCCATGTGCTCTACAGGAACAATACCTCCTCTGACATGCCACCCTCCCCATTAGATCAGACAACCCATCGCATCAGCCCCTGTGGAACCGCCACAAATGTTTAGGGAGAGAATTCATCCCAGTAAACACAGCCTGGGCACCTGTAAAGGGCCAGGCCCTCTGGGTTTCCCCTCCTGCTGACTGCCCAGCCAGGTCCCATGCAGATGGGCCTTCAGCCCTGGGTTTCTACTTGCTGGTCCCTCACCCTGGAAGGGCAGGCCTGGGGTCCGGCTCACATCTTGGAGGAAGCGAATGAGGTGTGGCTGGAGGACCTCAGAGCAGCTGTGGTATGCAGCCACGATGTACAGCAGCCTCCAGCCTCGCTGGCAGCTGTCCCTGTGAGGACACACACATAGGGTCACCTTACTAGGGTGCCATGCTAGGAGTCTCCTGGTCGGGCTGGAGGTCTCTTGTCCTCAGGCAGCTCCTGTGTTCTGAGGATGTTCCTTCCTGCCTGGTGAGAGCCGGGAAGGTGGCCCCAGAGCCTTGCTTGGGAAGCCAGGGTGGGAGGCAGGGAAGGAAGGAGATGAGGCCCCCGACACACACAAAGAAACAAGCCTTCCCTGGCTAGAATCTCTCTGGAGAGGCTTCTGGGTGAAGGTCCTTGAAGGAAGGCAAGGGGAACCTGCTGGGACCGTGCGAAGGTAAAGGCAGGTAAGGCCTGGGATGGGGATGGGGGCCAGAGGACGTGCTGAATGGTTCTAAAAGTTCCCAGGGGGAAGGAGAGAAAGTGGAGGAAGTGGAGGAGATGGGGACAGCGCACACTTTGGGCACCTGCTGTGTTCTGCTCCTGTGTGAGACACAGCAATTCACCATCACGTTGCCCTGGTGTGAGGTTTTCACTTGTGGGGACCTAGTGTCTGGGGACCTAGTCCCTAGGTCCATGTGGTGTAGAGGTGGGCACAAGAGCAGGGTCTGCCCAATTAGAGTTCAACCTCCCTCTGGCTATGGTGATTGGTGTGAAGACAGGAATGTGACCCAGGTCTAGCCAATCACAGCTCTGTATCCTCCAGCTATTGTGGTTGGTTCAGGGATGGACATGTGACCAAATCAGGCCAGATTTGGATTGATTTTTTTTTAAACTTTTTATTGGGGAATCAGGGGATGGGAACAGCACTGGAGAATTGGGGGAAGGGGAACAGACAAGTTGCTGTACTGTTTGTTCTTCAGTCTAGTTGTGGAGGACGTTGCTTCACTGGCCTAAGTTGGCACCATCATTGCGCTCTTCCTGGGCGAGGCAGATCAGTCACCGGCTTCTGGATGGCCGCTCACGGCGGCTGCTGGCCACTCACACTGGCTGCTGGCTACACACGGTAGCCCATGGCAACCCACTGCAGCAGAGGCTGCAGCCTATGCCGTCGCTGGCAACTCACGGCAGCCCTGCTCCAGGTTGAGCTGTTGTTCAGCATCTTAGCTGTAGAGGGCAGTGTCACTGGCCCTCATATGTGGAATCCGAACCGGGGCCCTGTGGCATCCCAAGCCAGCTCTTAACGAACGCGCCACTCGGCCAGCCCAGATTTTGAAATTTTTGCTGCAAGTATTGGTCAGTCTTGCTTTCCCTGGGATTGCTAAGCTGGGAAATGTCTCCCCAGAGCTACCATCTTGCCAATCTATGGAAGATGTTGCTTGGGAATGATATCAACACAGAGGAAAGCAGGGCCAGGATACAGAGAAAGCCTGCTTCCTGGTGACACCTGGATCTAGCTATTCCTAAAGTCATATGCGGGACTTTCCAGTTACCTGAACCCTCTTTTGCTTAAACCAGCTTGAATTGGGTTTCATCACTTGCCACCAAAAACCTGGACTCACATATTATCACAGCCATTTTACAGATAAAGAAACTGAAGCTCTGATAGTAGGAATGGTTTGTCTCAAACCAAACAATTCCAAATACATGTGCTTTATCGAGTGAGAAAGAGGAGTGAGGAAAGAATCTGGAAGTGGAAGGTTTGACTGCCCCTCCTGGACATGGACATGGCGGGGGAAGGGAAGACAGAGGTGAAGGCCCAGCTCACTCACTGCTTGGTGCTGGTGTTATCTGTGATCTGCTTCACAACTTGGCAGTAACACTCGTCCCGCATGACCTCATGGTCCCCGCACAGCTGTAGGGGCGCAGTCCAGGTCACACGCCACATACCAGGCACATAAGAACAGGGTGATGGCCCTTCCCCGGTCCCCTCCCACCAGGGGGATGCACTCCTTTTTGGGCCACACAAGAAGCTGCCCACCCCAACATCCTGCAACTCTGCTTGGCAGATGGGGAAAGTGAGCCACAGAGCAGGAAGGAGAGCATTGGGCAAAGTCAGTGCACTGACCTTCAAGAGGGTACAAAGCACATCCAGTTCACTCTGGCCCTTCAGCGGAGCATCCCCCATGAACCGCATCACAGCTGTAGGAAAAACCTCTCAGGCCACCAGACCCCTAGCTGTCCACCTACCTCAGGGAAACCCAGGATTAGGCCCCTCCCTGAGAGGCTGTGGTCAGGGCAGCGGGGGGCTTTGCTTCTCTTAAAGGGGCCCATGTCTGAGTTGAGGGAGGGGAAGTATCTGAGGACCAGAGGAGTGGTGATGAGCAGGGGTCACACAGTGCTGGCCAGGGCCCTGGGCACAGTCCCACCCCACACCTAGGAACATGTCAGTGGCCATCTTGTTGAGGCTGTTGTCGCTGAGCTCGATGAGTGATTCCTGGAGTGGGGTCTGCAAAGGGAGGGAGGGGTTGTGTCATGATGGGGGAGGGACAAGTCAGAAAAGAGGAGGGTCACATGGATGTCCTGTCTCATGACAGCAGGGTCCCATTCACCAGAAGGGAGCTGGGCCGCACTGCAGACAGATGCCACCCCTGGGAGGAATTAGGCCCTCAGGGTTTTGAGAGCTGGGGTTCCTCTGAGAACAAGGCTGTTTGCCCCAGGGGCCTGGGAGCAGACTCCTGCGTCACCATTTTACAGATGGGGAAACTGAGGCCTGGGGTTGGGCACCTTGGTGAAGCAAAGCATGTCCTCCAAGGTTCTGGACTCCCGGCCCTCCTTGGATTTCAGCCTGAGGCCATCCCTGCAACAGGAAGTGGACACTGCTGACCAGTCTTGCCTCCCAGCCTGTGGCTACATCCTTTTCCCACACAGGAATATTCTTGATCCATGTCAGTCCACCAGGCAGAAAGACTCCCAGAAGCTGAGGCTGTAGATGGGCCTCACACTTGGGTGATTTCTCATCCCTCCACCAGAAGTGGGGTCTTCCCACTTGGACAACTCCAAGAAGCCCCAGTAGGACCCTCCTCATGGTCGGGATGAGGGGTGGGGCCACCACTCACTGAGGTCTCCTCCTGGGGTCTCGGAAATACTTCTGGGCAAACTCCAGCATTGTGTATGGTAGGAGGGCCAGGCCGTCCACCCCACGGTCAGCTGAGCCAGACCTGACTGGGGAACCCTGCAGGAGGACAGGAGATAGGAAGGCCTGTCCACCACACCAGCCACCACATACCCCTACCCACCATCAAAGCTGACAATGTAACCCCAGACTGACTACGTCTAGTTTCAGGTTGCCCCTCCCTCTACCCCTGTGGACCCACCCCCATTCAGTTGGCCTGCCCCCTCATCCAGGTCACACCCACTACATACCCAGCTGATCCCACTCCCCTGCCCCACTTGGCCACGCCCCACCACCAGGCCCATCCCTGCCAGGGTCCGCCTCTCCAGCTGCCTAGGTGAGCTGACTTTGCCCCTCACTACTTAGTTATACCTCACTCCATCCCTTGCTAGCACCACTCCACATGCCTGACCCTGCCCCACTCACTTGGCCCTGCCCCATCCCAGGGCTAGTCCTACCCCATCGATCTGGTCACAACCCTTCCGCCGACTCCACTCTCTCTACCCCACTTGGCCTCACCTCCAACCACCTCTGGTCACATCCCACGGGTCACACATCTGGCTAGCCCTACTAGGTTGGCCCCATCCCAGAACTGGCCTAGGCTGACCTTGCTCTGGTCCATCTCCACAGTCAGGCTGACCCCCTGGCTGTCTCCGCCCTATTGGCCTCGCCCCACCAGTCTCACCTTCCTCCTGCGGCCCACTTCCTGTGCAGCAGCAGTGGAGGCCACGGCCGCAGCTACAGCAGCGGCGCGACCCCGGCCCGGCTCGGCAGGCAGCTGCAGGAAGTCGGGGGCAGCCGCGGGCTGCACCAGCTCGGAAGGGAAGCGTCCCACGCGCCCGTGGATGGTCCCAAACTTCCAACCTAGAAGGCAGGAAAAGTCAGGCAAACAGGAGGGTCTCCTCTTGGAACTAAGGGGCCCTCTCGGGATAGAGTTAGTAGCTTGGCCCCTCCCTAGGGTGAGGCACGCCTTGGAGTGCATTTACAGTTGAAACTGGATGCTCTGGGAAGGGAACGCATTCCCTCAGTGGGAGGGGGAGCCCAATGTGTGGCACAGAGAGACTGGCTACAAACATGGAAACACTAATGCCCACAGAGAACCCTCAGCCAGATATGTAGGCAGAGGGCTGGGCTGGTTGGCCACCAGGAGTCACTAGGAGGCCTGGCCAGCGCAGACCCCTTTGGGGCACTGAGAAACCCCCATCATGCACCTGCAGCGTGAGTGCATGAAACCAGGGTGAGCTGTTTGGGGTTTCCAGGTTTTGGAGCACTAGAGGCTGGACGGAGGATCCCTGGGTACCCACCAAAGTCTGGGCCTCTCCGTCGCAGCTCCTCCAGGTACACGACCTTCTTGCGGACAACACAGCCGGCACTGTAGCCTGTGGCCCAGGCGTACTTCAGCGTCAGCACCTGCCAGGGAGGCCCCCTTGCCCAGCCTCTCCCTCCCGGGCTCACCCACCCCAAGGAAACTGACCCATTCGAGGTGACTCCAGGGGCTGCAGGTGGATGATGTCGCCCTTGTGGAAGGTCAGCAGAGACGGGTCCTCAGGCAGGAAGTTCCTCACAGCAACCACGTAGTCAGAGTCCTGGGTTAGCCAGGGCAGGGTGAGGGGCCACAGTCCATCCCCCTCCTCCCTGAGAGCTGGGGCCACTCCCCTGCCCCTCACATCCACAGGTATTCCTCCCTATTCATCAGGAATATTTTTAGGTGAAAGAGGGTGGGGCATTCCAGGCGGAAGGAAGGGCTAGAGGCCTGAGTCTGACGAACAAAGATGTTAGAGCACTTGCATATGTCTTCCCCTCTATTCCTTACCAAAGCTTCCCCACTGAGGCCAGATGCTGGCCTGAGACAGAGATGACCTGCTCTTAGCCTGGGGGATGCTCATTCTGGAGGGAAGATGGGGGTAGACACTGCCAGTCAGCAGTGGTGGGCAGTACTGTCACTGCAGGAGGGTGAGGGATGTAATTGCTGTGGAGCTCAGAAGAGGTGCTGTGACACCCCTGCTGAGGGTGTAAGTATAGGTTTTTGAAGGAGTAGGCAAGAGGTGAAAGGGCATCCCAGGTGGAAGGCACAGCCTGTGTAAAGGCCTGAAGGCCTACAAGTCTATGGATACAGCCACTGCCCCCCACCCCCGCCACCCCAATCCATACTTCCCAGGCAGGCCTGGCTGGTATATCGGATGGGAGATCCCTGTTCTTAGGCCCTCAACTGCTGGCAGGGGGCCATCTGACCTTCTTCAGCTCCAGGATGAAGTCGTCCACCAGGGTCTTGACCTGATGAGCTCGGGCTGAGAAGAGGATGACCTTCTCGCTGGCTAAGTTGAATTCCAACATGTTCTGGGAGGGGATGGTCACAAAGAGGATATCTGCAAAGCTGGAGGATGGGATGGCGGCATGAGGGCAGGACCCCATGGCCAGAGGGACGCCCTCTACCCCACCCACGCTGCTCCTTCTGCTCTTGCCCTGTCTCCTTCCCGAAGCCCAGCCCCACTTCAACTCCATTTCACCAGCCCCAACCCAGGGACCCGAGGAACCTCCAAGCACTCTCTTCCCTGGTCCCGATGTGGCTCCAGTCATTGCCTACCACCACCAGCATTCCAGATCCTCCCCACCCTCTGCCATTTATTTATGTATTTATTTGCCTCTTGATCCAATCTCCCAGGTTTGCCCACACACGTCTATCTTTCTTTCATTGACCAAATTCTCTCCATTTTTCCAACAAGGAGTTTTCACCCAACCCGTGAGCCAGGCTCTATTCCTATCCTGTGCTATAAAGGACAAAGGAGGCTAATGTCAGGGGGGCCAGAGTACCCAGTAAGATCTCATTCTGGAGCACCCTTTCCCTCCTGGGCTGCATCAGAACCGGGGTGCTGACAGCACAGTCGCCCCCCTGCATAGTGAGCTCTGTGAGGGCAGGGCTGGGGTGTGGTCCAGGAGGGAGGATAGCAGCATGGGTTCCTAGCTCATCTACTTCCTGGTTGTGTGACCTGAGACGAGCACCCTCTCTCCCTGAGCCTGTTTCCCCATCTCTAAAATGGGCTGCACTCAACGATTTGGCACAAAGCCTGGCACATGGTAGCTGCTCAGTAATTGGCTATGGGAAGTCAGTGAGGAAATGCTGAGGCCAGTCTGTGCCCCAGTGTCCAGCTAGCCCCATTCTCGCCCGCCTGCCAGTCACCTGTATGCACGCAGGACGTGCAGCTGCCCGCCAGCCTCCCTGCTGCCCCTGTCCATCCGCAAGAGTTTGATGCCCGTGTGAGACACAGCTAGGATCTGCACACCAGTGCCCACGCTGCCCTGGGGGTGGGGATAAGGGCATGTGAGGGTCTTCTAGCCTCATCCCCAAAGTCCCTAAGTGGGATGGGGGGTCTGGCAGGGGCTCAAACCGTGGCAGGGAAGAGGCGGGAGAAGTAGACTTCCCAGCTGTCACGTGCAGTGCTGACCACGGCCCGCTTCACACTCTCCGTCACCAAGGGCCTCTGTGTGTCCAGCTGGTTCTGGGCTAAGGGGATACCAGGTCTGGTCAGGACCCTCTCCTCCCTCCCCTGCTGGCCCACATTGCAGGGAGGGAGACTGACACTCAGCAAGAAAGTATGGGACCATTGTATTCTCAGTGTCCAGACTGGGAAAGTGATATCCAGAGACAGAAGGGATGGCTGGGACCACCCAGCCTGTTAGGCAGAGCTGACCTCAAAGTTGTCACCTGGCCATGGGAGAGACCATCAGCAGAACAAGGAAGTGTCTGGGAGGCAAGTAGGGCTGGGCTTATCCCTTCCCTTCCCTGCCCTCCCACTGTGGTACCAAATAGGGCTTTCATCTTGAGCCTCTCATCCTCAGAGATGCGCAGGCAGGCCTTGGAGAGGGTGTCATGCAGGATCTGTGGGAATGAGTTATGATGCAGGCAGCCCGTGGGACTTCCCCAGCTGAGAGCCCAGGCCGGACTGTTCAGGAACCAGTGGGAGTGTGTGTGTGTGTGTGTGTGTGTGTGTGTGTGTGTGTGTGTGTGTGTGTGTGTGTGTAGTGGAGGGGGAGTCCCCATTTGCGCAGCAGCGGGGTCATCTCGGTAAACAGATCCCACTTACAAGGACCCTCTCCTTTCTCTTCATCTCTGCAAGCCATACCGCCCATCCCAGATTAGTTTCCTAATTTATGCAGTGGCTTTTGGGTTTGCCCTCTGGGCCCTGTCTAGCTTAGACAAACTGTGAATCCAATTAGATGGGATTGTGGGCTCCTTGACCCTGTCCATGGGGGTGGGGGATACACTAAAACAGTTTCCTATCCTCACCATGGTCAAGGACCCAATGCCAAGAGTGCAGAAGCAGAATGTGCAGACTGCCAGTCTGTGTGCCCATTGCCCTGTGGAGTATACCAAGGCAGAAAGGGAAGAGAGGACCTTACCTGCCTGAACAAGAGGTCTAGTTGCACAGGGTGGCTGTAGCTGTCTTTAGGGTAAAACACCTGTGGGGCGGGGCTTCAATGAGGACCCTGAAGGCCTCCTTACCTTGCTTCACACCCCACCCCACCCCCTAGGTTCAGCCCCGCTGTATACCAGCGGCTGGTCCCCTTGCTCAGCTCAGACCCAGTTCTCCTGGCTCCACCCCCCCCATCCCATCCAGGTGGGCCACTCTGCCCCCATTCAGCCCCTCCCCTGGCTCCAGGCACCTCTTTGCGCAGGAAGATTCGCCACGGGGCATCCTGGTAGCCGTAGAAGTTAGGGTTCAGGAGGCGGTGTAGCCGTGTCTGCACTGGTTCCTCGGGAGGTTCCAGTGACCTGGAAGGCTGCACTGGGGAGCAGTGCAGAGAGTTGGAGCAGCATGAGTTGGGGGAGGCAGGGCAGGTCAAGAATTTGACTCGGGGTGACCTCATATTGGGGAAGGGGCTGGGGCAGACTGGTCTCCCACACCCTTGGTCGTAGACACATCTGATCATGCATGTGCACGAAGGCTTACACAGTCCAACCCTTCGTTAGACACATACAGAGAGCTCCTAGTGTATGCAGGCTAATTCTAGGGGCAGGGGATGCCACTGTGAACAGGATAGACGAGGCACCTGCCGTGAGTTCAAATTCTCCTGGCAGGTTTGGGTGGAACAGATTATTAAAAAATGACAAAGCTCTTAGTGCTAGGAGCTGTGGGATGGAAATAAAACTGGATAATTTAGGAAAGAGTCTGTAAGAGTCCTTCAGTTTGGGCGGTCTGGCAGACCTCTCTGAGGAGGTGACATTTGAGATCTGAATGATAAGAAGGAGCCAGGCATGCAAAGATCAGGCTTGGTGTGCTCCAGGAACACTGAGGAACAGAGTGTGCCAAGGGGAGAATGAGAGGGGACAAGGTTGGGGAGGTGGGCAGATCATGCAGGGTCTCACAGGCTACACGGAGGAGTATGGAGTTGATCCTAGGAGCCATTGGAGCGTTTCTGAGAGGGATATAATGGGAGCTTATTTATATCTCTTAAAATCACTGTGGCTGCCACGAGGCAAAGGATGTAGAGATTAGGCCTCCGACTGTGATGTCAGGGGGCCTGGATTGAGATCTCTGGTCTGACACTTTTGAGCTGTGTGATCTTGAGTAAGTCATTTCACCTCTCTGTGCCTCTGTTTCCCCATCTGTAACATCTACTGGTACAAATGGTACTGTGTCAGAAGGTTTCAATGAGGCCAGGGTGGGCCTGACCTGAAATCAGTGTTATTTAAGTGCTGATGTCTACACAGTAGGTTCACAAAGGCTCAGGACATGGACACATATACCACGGACACGCAGACCGAGACTCGCCTGTGCTCACAGAGACGGACTCATACACTTGGACACCTGCTCTCTTGCCCCGTCCTCCCTCTGTCCTGGCCCCTCACCTGGAGTGGGCCCTGCGGATGGCCTTGGTGCACTGGTCACTGGCTTCACCATGGCCACAGCCTCTCTGGGTACCTGTCCCCACCCCAAAGAGAGTGTTCAGTGGGCAACAAGTGGGCCCCATTGATGAGGGCAGCAGCAGGGCCACGGCTTATACGGGCAGCTGATTTCTGAGGCTCCCCTGGAGGACCCACCTTTTCTTCCCTTCTGCTGGGGCCCGGCCCAACCCTACCCCTTACCTGGGTACCAGGTGCTGCCACTGTCTGGTTCATCTGTCCCTTCAGGATCATCAGGGCCTCCTCGTGGGGGTCTGGCCGCTTCACAAACACCCTCCCGCCGTCCCTCCTGGTGGGTTGGACAATGAATCTCCTCTTCCCAGCCACAAATTCCTACAATAGGGAACCTCTTCCTCCACCCCCCATCATTATAAATGAGAACTCAGAGAGGATCAGAGACTGGCCTGAGGTGACACAGCACAGCCTAACAAGCAGTCTGGGCCTCCCTCTGCCTGGGGGGCTCATGTGGGCCATCTGCATAAATAGACTCACTCCCTAAATGTTGCTGAGCACTCAGACACAGTGAGGAGGCCACCTGTCTGGAGGACTGGCGTGGGAGCAGAGCTGACCTGAGGGCCTCAGGCCGGCCTCCCCCAGGGGCTTGCTGGTACTGCCTAACGATGGTCTTGATCTGCTGCGTGGGCTGCGGGAAGTGTTCCGAGTTGAGTGTCGAGTACCGGACCCGCTCTGGGCAGGGCGAAGCTGTAGGCAAGGGGTGAGGGTGGGGGACAGGGTGAGGCCACACTCCCAGTCCTGTACTGGGAAGCCCCCCTCAGCTGGGATACGACACTCACTGATTTCTGGAGAAGCCCGGTCCTGAGCTAGAATGGGGGCAGCCACGGGCTTGGTGGGGGACCTGGGGGCCTTGGCCAGAGGGGCTGGGGTCAAGGGTTTTGGAGTAGAGCGCAGGAGCACAGGCTTGGCTGGGGGTCCAGTGCCTACGAACTTCGGCCGTGCCTCTGATGCTAGCGGTTTCTGCGGAGAGCAGGGTGTGAGGTGGGCTTCTTGGGACATACCAGCTTGCTTTCAGGGACCCCATGTCTGCCCAGGATGGGCTGTGGAGTCCTGACTCAGAGAGGTGCAGTGATGCTCTGGGGTAGCACAGCACTCACCTGGGCAGGGCAGGCTCACCTCTGGGGGCAGGGGCCTTGGGGCGGGACTCAAGGGATGATGCTGGAGCGCCATGGCCTGCAGGGTCATCTCCCTGGCCTGGGGAGAGGCTTAGTGGTGACCAGGCAGGCTCATGCTCAGGGCCCTCCCCTGTAGCCCGTCTGGCACTCACCAGGAGCACAGCCTGTTTGTGGATGAAGGCTTGTTGCAGAGCCAACGTGGAGGTGTCCAGGCCTGGGACTGGGGAGAGCCGGGTCACAGGGCATGAATCCCCAGGTGCAGAAGCTGAGGGTAATAGGAATTCCCTACCATGTCCCCCCCAGTCATCTCACCCCTGCCATGCTCAGAGCTGCCTCCATTCTAGCACGTGAAAGACCCTAGAGAACCAGAGGCAACCCCAGCTTTGCCCAACCCTGAAACCAACCTGGGGGCAGGCACTGACTTGGCTTTGGCTCTGGAGGTCTCCTGGGGGTGTCTTCGGTGCTGCTACTGCCACCTCCACCAGGCTGGCCTCCTCCTTTCATGCGGTAGGCAATGGCTGTTGGCTTCTCCAGGTCCTGGGAGCAGTGGTGGCTCAAGTGACCGCCTCAGTGCTGTCCTCCCGAGGTTCCAAGGCAACGGGCACCTGACACCAGCCACCTCCTCCATTCCACGGGCCTCCCACCCGCCAAGTGTCTGCTGTATACCCAGGCTCTGCCCACGTGCATTCCAGTCGGTTCTCCTACAATCTTGCGAGCTCTCAACTCACCCCCTCCCTTCACAGAGGAGTAAACTGAGGCTCAAAGAGGGGCTATGCCCTGCTCAGGGCTGCACATCGTGCCATGGAGGGGCTCCTGGGAGTTCCCAGAGTGAGCAAGGGTGCCTTGCTGGCTCCCAAAGGAGGTGGGCCTCTAGCTGGGGATCCTTCTAGAGTCAGCTAGTTGCACCTCTAGCTGTAAGGACACCCTTATCCTTTGCCCTGTACCCAGCAGAGACCCAGATGAGTCATGCCACCCCATGGCCCTGGTGTGTATGTGCTGTGCCTGCTGTCTGCAAACACCCCACCCATCCCTACCGTGTCCCCGTAGGACAACACAGGGTCGAAGAGGCTGTCCAGGAAGCAGTCCAGACCCTTGTGAGGTACAGTGGGCTCTCCAAGGCTGTCCAAGTCTGGCGGGACACACAAATGTCAACTTCTGTTCTCCTGCTGATCACCTCCCATAGCCCCCAGGCTCCCTCCCCACAAGAGACAGCAGCCACTGCTGTTTGACCTTGGTGGGTCGCTGTCCTTCTCTGGGCCTCAGTCTCCCCATTTGTACCGTCCTCATTGTGGCTGCAGTACCCATTAGAGTCAGCTACTTTGGGCACGTGCCCATGCGGCTGGGGCCTCACAGGTGCATCCTCATCTGAGTCCCAGCTGTTCCCAAACACCCTGTGGGGGAGGGGAACATAAAGCAACTGACCCCCAGAGAGACCCACAGCCCTCCCAAACCACTTCCCCACTCTCCTCTGTACCCCGGAATTGAGTGACTCTCTTCCTTTAAAGGCAGGACCTTTTGGTGAGCCCCACCTCCTTGAGAACCTTGAGGCTTAAGTTTAGAACTCAGCCTCTCCCAGCAGCTGGGAGAGGGAGCCTTGTGCTGGGAGAGGCCATCTGTTTGAGGGGGCCCAGGTAGCCACCTACGCTCTTGGGCCTCCCCTGCTGGACATGGGCCCTTCTGCACCCACAATGAAGTAGGACTTCTGTCGTGGGAAGTCCCTGAGCAGCTCTAGGTCTGACACCAGGTCCAGCACGTAGTCGTGGCCTGCCAGCTCTGCCCACTGGACCCCATTCTTCATGGCCACTGTCCAGCCTCGCCAGCCGTCCGCCAGCCCCCTGGTGACAGCATGTGAAGAAACAGAAATGAGGGATGGAGCCAAGAGGTACTGCTTAGGAAGACCCCTGGGATGAGCCAGACCCCAAGCATGACCAGAGTGGACCCTGTAGGGCTCTTCAGGGGATCTGACCTCTTCCCCTCCCTCACTCCTTCCCATGGGCACAAGGGTATGCTGGGCAGGGCATTCCAGGAGCCAACCTGTGCCTCAGAATGTCTCCAGCCACCTCTTCCCCCGTGCTCCAGGAGTGCACTGGGCAGGAGAACTGGTCACCTAGGACGGCAGTAGGTGCTTGGGCTCAGTTTGGAGCATCTGCAGTTGGACCGGTCCTGCTGCTTCCCCACCTGCTTCCCCACCTGCTTCCTGCACTTAGGCCTCCCATTTGCATCCAGGACCCTGGGTCTGCCCTCCCCTCTTCTCTCCCCTCCCCCATCTTCTCTCCCCTCCCCCAATCCAGGTCCAGCCCACACCCACACAAAGACCTCTTTCCAGGGCTACAGCCAGCAGGCCCCTCCCCAGCTCTAGAACCACCCCTGGCTTCTTCTGACCCCTGGGCATGCTGGGGCTTGCTTACTCCAGCTGCCCCTCTACGCCACCATGAGGGAGGGAGAGAGAAAAGGCAGTACACAGTGGGAGGGGGCAGCTCACCATTGAAGCAGCCCACATCCAGCACCATGCCAGCCCTCTCCAGGGTTGCTATCCACTCGAGCTGGGTTGGAGGGAAGGTGCGGGCAGCCCCAGGGCCCTGCTGTTGGGCCCGGCTCATGGCCTGCATGAGGCGGTGTTGACACACAGCCTGGAAGCCATTCCGCCCATAATCAGACACAAACCTAATGGGGAGGAGGTGCCAGGATGAAGAGACCAGCTCGGGGTGGGGGAAGATTCTGAGGCTCCTTTAGGGGAGGCCCAGGCCAGCCCAGAGCTTTAAGGGAGGCTGAAAAAGCCCCAGGATAGCTTAGAGTTCTGAGGTGAGGCTACAAAGATCTCAGGTTAGCCTAGAGCTCCAGGACTACCCTGAACTGTTCCCAAGCTGGCCCAGAAGTACTCCAAGCCAGCACGAAGCTCCAAGGATAGGCCAAAGAGGCTCTAGGGTGGCCCACCTAAGCTTGTCAGAGCATAATGTCACTGGCAGTGTGGGGTCTGCAGCACAGTGTGAACAAGAGCCTGGACTCTGGAAGACTCTGCCCCCTATTCTTTTAGCAAGCAACCCTGAGTGGTTCTGTGCCCTCTCTGAGCCTGCTGCCAAGTTCTTACCTATATAAGACGTGGCTGTGAGGGTTCAACTTGACCCAGGACCAGTGAGCCGGATCCCTGCCAGTGGCAGGCACTCTCGTGCCTGGCTCCCTGTCCCCCTCCCAACTGCTGGGGGCCTGGTCAGTAGCAGCAGTGGAACAGGCCCATGGTGGCTACCAGATCCCTAGAGCTGTGCCCACTGGAAGCCCTGGATGGCAGGCAGCCTGACCATACTGCCACAGATTCACAGGACTGGGAGTGAGCTGCCCACCTACTGCATACAGCCTGGATGAAGCTCTGCACACTCTGGGGCTCACAGGCACCCTATGAGGTGGGTCCTGTTACCATCCCTAGTTTATAGGTAAGGAAAGAGGTACAGACAGGGGCAGTGACTTGCCCAGGCCATACAACAGGTAATTGTCACAGTGAGGATTCGCACCAAGGGCCTGCTTGAGCTCTTTTCCGTACAAATCATCCTTATCACCCAGCAGAGGGACATCACCATCGTCCTCAGGATGCTGATGATGGCTGTCCTCACATAGCACTGACCACAGGTCCATCTCTGTTCTAAGCACTTCATGTGTGTTTACACATTTCATCCTCACACAGCCTATAAAGTAGGCACTCTTAGTATTTTCATTTTACTGAGGAAACTGAGGCTCAGCAAGGTTAAGTAACTTGCCCAAGGTCACACAGCTCCAATGTGGTGGAGCTGGGACTTGAACAGACGTTAGAGTCTATACTCCTAACCACCCCGCTATACCCCCATGATGTGAGAGGTCAATGCCTCGATTTCAAACTCCCCACACTCTGGTCTTGCCGCCCGCAGAGCTCTGGAAGTCCTGTATCCAGTCTCACCTGACTCCTAACCCCTGCAATGAGCCCAGTGGAGTCAGGGTACAGCCCCTGGGTCACTTCCGTGCCTGAGCTTCTGCTCAGAGACCTCACTCCTGGCCTGACCTTTAACATTGCACCCTGGGCCTGCGCCAGTGTCACCGTCCTCACCCCAGTCCCGCCCGGCTCCACTCACTTGAGCAGGTACTTGTTGAGGCGTGATGAAGGTAAAAAGGCACTGAGGCAGGCGGCCAGCAAGAGCCAGCCCCGCTCGGCATTGTGGGCACTGGGGTTGCGCCACACCTGGTTGGCCAGCTGTGCGAGAATCTCATCCCGCAGCTCGGGCACTGCCAGCCCTTTCTGCACAATGTAGTTCCCGAAGACGTTCTCCTGGGCACCATGCAGGTGGGGGTCACCCATGAAACGCAGAATCTGGGCCACAAACAGACTCTCCTGAGCCTCTCGAAGAGTTGTTCTTGCCAGGTCCCCACCCCCAACTTGCATCCCTCTCATGTCCTTCCATGTGTCCTCCTTCCCATATAAAAGTCCCCCCACATTACAATATAATAGCTGTATCCTACGCCAAATGAGCAGGCAGTTCACCCGAACCATGACAAAGGTCAAGATCCAATGTACATGTTTCTTCTCTTCTACTCATGAGCCTTCTATAGCTCCCATACGGCCTCAGCCCCACTCGGCATCCCTGGCTTCCAGCAGGCCCCTCACCTCCTGCTCCATTCAGGCCCCAGAGGAGCCACATATCCAACCATATCCCTCCCACGGAAGCACATTCCTTGGCTCCCTAAGGATCTTGGGATGAAATCTGAGTTCCCAATCTGTCAATCAAGGACTCGTGACCCCTCTTGCCTTTGCTCTCTTGATTCTCTGTTCTAACCACATCAATTTCCTTTTCTCTTTGTGCCTTCTCCACTTGCCCTGGCTGGGAGATTCTGACTCCTCCTTCTACTCTAGCTCAAATGCCCCCTCCTCCAGGAAGCTCTCTCAGACTTCCCAGGGCTGGATTAGGGGCCCTGTCTGGACTACCCAGTCTCTGTGCCCTCCTCTGTCCATATTGGTGGTCACTAATCAGGTGTGCTCTGCTTCCTCCAAGAAGCCCTCAAGGGGAGGACCTGGGTCTATTCTTGGTGTCCCTGGAAACCTCCAGAGAGGGAGCCTTATTGCCAGGGAGAAGGCTGTGAGAAGAAAATCCCATAATTCCCAGACTCTAGTCCAGAAAGGAGGCCAGACCCCATCCCCCCACTCCCCCCAACAGAAGTCTTTTTTTCCAAGGAAGAGGCCTTGGCTTATGGCTTTGGCTGGTGGAGGGTTCAGGAGGGCAGGATGAAGGGCCTCATGGCCTGACTTTAGGGGTGGGGGCCACAAATTCCAAGGCGGTCCGGACAGCCCATACCAGCTTGAAGATGTTCACGGCTTCTGTGTGGTACTCCACAGGCAGCCGAGTGAGGGGCATCCTCAGGGGTACTGTCAGCATCCCGAAGGCAGGTTCCTGGGGGGCACAGGGCAGATGCGTGGGGACAGAGCTGGGACTGACAGGCACATCTGGGCCCACTGCTCTGTCCCAGCTGGGGGCACAAGAGCCTAGGAGGCTAGGACTCCTGTCCCCAATGTGTAGATGGGGAAACTTAGGCTTGGAGAGGGGCAGACACTGGCTTTCAGTGAGTTGGTGGTAGAGACAGTCTGAGCCCCAGTTCAGGCCCTTTCTGGAGGGCAGGAAATTAAAGCAGGGATGACCAGCTGTGGCTCCACTTATTGTGAAATTTCTGAAATATTTCCAGACTGGTTGGCAAACAGCTACTTCATGAGCCCCCAAGGGACCTCCACTGCTATGCAGGCCCCCTGTGGAGCCACCAGATTCCTTATAATCCAGCAACTAAAGGGCTCATGCCAGATCCCACAGGGTACAGCCAGGAGCCTGCCCCAAGCTAAGGACAGTATCAATTTTATTGGTCAGTGCCCATTGGCCAGGGCCACTTGGGCCTATACCAGCCCTTACCTTGAAGTGGCACCGGACAAACTTAGCCATGGGGTAGTTGTTGATATCCAGGGGCAATGTGACACGGGGCTCAGCCTGGAGCCGGGGAGTCCGCACGGGGGCGACCTGGTGCACCTGGGCTGGCCTGAGACCTGTGGAGAGAGGAGGGCATGAGATGCCTGGTTCCCTTGCCCTCTCATGCCCACCCCACTGCCCAGTGGTGACATACCTGCCACTGCTTGCAAGAGCCCAGCCAGCTCTGCTGGTACCTCCAGGTGTCCCACAGCCACCACTTCCCGCTTGCTCAGCTCCTGGAGGGACAGTTCATGGTGAGGAGACAGGCTTGCCACAACCCCCACCTGCCGGCCTCCCTTCCTGTCCCCTGCTTCCACCCACACCCCCGCACCCACCTCCTGCTCCCGAAGCCGCACCTCCTCCACCCGGAGCCTCCGCTCTGCCCTCAGCTGCAGGAGAGCAGATGGTCAAGGCGGAGAATGGCAGGCAGAGGCAATGGCAGGCCGCAGGCCGGGGGCAGGCCAAGCCAGCTCACACAAGGCGGCCAGCACAAGAAACAAAGGGGTCAGTTTGCCTGAGGTCTGGAGATGACTGCTCTACCTCACAGATGGAGGGAGGGAGAGGTGTGGCCAGAGAAACAGGGAGGGGAAGGGAGACAGACAGAGCAAGAGAGAGAGAGGTCGATGTAGAGGGCAGAGGGAGTAACACTTTGGGAAAAAGGAGAAAGGCACAGGATGACTTCTGGGAAGTAGCTGAGAGACAATGTAATGGAACCCTCTCCTGTTGCTCCACAAAACCTTCAGTAAAAGCCACACAGTTTGCCGATACTTTGGGGATTACATTTGTCTTGCTGGTGTTGGTTTACATGACAATAGGCCAAAACTGGTGAAGGTTAAGAGCAAAACCATATCCAGTGCTGGTTCAGTCGCCAAATTCTAATCGTACCCAATTACTGAAGCCCCAGTGTGAACCCAGCACCAGGCCAAATCCTTCATGTGCAACATTCACTTAAACCCTCTCCAATCCAATCCCAAGGGGGAGATGGGGAAGCAGGGCGAGAGACCGGCTGAGGTCACACAGCTAGTGAGCGGCAGAGCGGGGATTAGAACCCAAGACAGTCTCCTTCTACGAGCTAAGTGCCTCTTCCCCATCCCTGCTGCTCCCTGGACCCAGATGGGCAGGCCTGGCTCCTGGGAGAGGGCGAGGGGGACGCCTGTACCTTGAGGTGACGCCGATGGCTCATGTACGTGTGCACCAGGGACCGGAACTTCACCATCCTCCTCCTCATCTGCTGATACCGTTGCCTGGGGGTGGAGGGGAAAGGAGCATCTTGGAAGGGGAGCTTAGGGGTTGGGATCATGGGTGAACAAGGGTCAGAGACGCCCATGCCAGCTTGGCCTGGGTGCCAGTGCCCACACTTTACTCTGGGATCCTTTGCCACAAATGGAAACTGGAGCTCAGAGGAGGGCAAGGACTTAGCTAAAGTCACACAGCAAATTAAGTGGCAGGGCCTGGATTAAACAGCCTGGACCATGTATTTCCCATCAGGTTGGAGTCCCAGGGTCCCTGAGATGCAGGGTGGGGTCCCCTTTGACTGGATGAATTCCCATCCACCAGTCACAAGGGACAGGGTGGGACAGAAGGACATGCAGAAGCAGAGACACAGAGAATCTGATCATCCTTTCTGCAGAGGCCCCTACTCTCAGCTTTCCTGCCTCCAGGAACAGGGAGCTTACTACCCAAGTTCAGGCATGGCCTCTCCCAAGCCTAGCTGTGGGGCTCCAGGGAGTTCTACCCTATCTGGGCTGCACCTGGTCAGGTAGCCTCGGGCCCGACTTTGCAGCAGGATGATCTTTCGACGCAAGGAGCGGAAACGCCGCTGGATGATGAAGCCACGGAGGCAGCGCTGCAGAGTGAGGGCCGCCAGATTGAGGACGTGCTCCCGCATGCTCTCCAGCAGCTGGTAGAGGTGTTCTTTAAGGAACAGCTGAGGACAGGAGGCAAGGACTGAGGGCGGTAAGGGCCAGGTGACTGGATGGGGGACCCTCCCTCTCCAGAGGCCCATGGAGACAGAACACAGGGCAGCCTCCTGGAGCCAGGTAAAGGATGGGCTGGGTTTGGAGAGATGGAAGAAAGGGGGAAGGTATGTTAGGCAGTGGGAATTGCCTGAGCAAAGGTCTGGAGGTGGAATTAGCAATCTACTTACCAAGCTCAACTGGATTGCCTCTAGGACAGTAATCTTTAGCCTGGGCATTTCTGACGCCACAGGCTCCAGTTCTGGGGCCCTTGAACTTGGGGCCTCTAGGGGCTGGGTGTGGGGTGGCACTCACCTTGCTGAGGCCAACGCAGTACATATTTGGCATGACTGTGCACAGGCGGCTCAGCACCGACACACACATGTCCCCACTGGCTGGCAGGTTGTGCTTGAGGTCCACTAGACAGCGGTACCTGCAGGAGTCCAAACTCAGCCTGGGGCTGTGGGACCTACCCCAGCTGCCCGCTGGATCACAGAGTCACCACCTCCATACCCCCCCCCTTCACCCCACCCCCCGCCGTCTCCAGGAGGCCCGAGTCCCAGCAGTGGCTCTACATAGTGTCTTCTAACCAGAAAAAGCCACTCCATCCTCAAGACTCTACTTCTTGGAGTCAGAAAATTGTAAAAATGGTTTCAGTAGAATAAGAAACCTTACTGTCATCTGCTGGAAACATCATAATAACTATTAAAGTTACTCCTCTTTAGAATCAACACATAATAAAACTATGAAAAAATGCAAAACAATAAATACATCTTCCATGTAACAGTTAGCATGTGGTAGTCTTGTGTAATGCACAACCTGAGCAACTGTACAGCAAGCCCTGTTCTGTCTGGGCTGTGTATTCCTGGGACCATGGTGGGCTGGGTAGGGGTCTGTGGAACTCAGGAACCATTCTGACTGAGGTACCTGTCGACAAACACCTGGAAAGGCAGCCGCACTGGGAAACCCTCCTTGCGGATCCGCACAGTCTCCAGCACCCCCGAATAGCGTAACTGTGCCATTACCACATCTGGCTCAAAGAGGCCTGGTTCCTGTGGGGAGGGCCCAATAGGGAGTCTGCACATGGGCCACCCATGGCAAAGGGCACTATCAATAGCAAACAGTCCCCATAGTGGGCTGGGCCCATGGAGGTCCAGAGAGGCAAAGCCACTTGCCCAAGGTCACACAGCATGGGGAAGAGCGTTTGGCTCTCCCAAGGACCTCAGCCACTACATACCTTTTTATGATTAGGCTTCAAGCAGCGCACAAACAAGGGGTTACACCTGGGCAGGTGGGAGGAGGCGGTGTGAGGCCGCAGAGAAGGAAGGTGGTTATCCCTGAGGGTCATAGGTGAGGCTACATCCCACCCACTTGCCATGCCCACCTCTCCATCTTTTCCACCAGATCTAGGAGCGACTGCTGGAACTTAGCTGCCACTGTGTGCGCCTTGTAGAGCCGGGTGACAGAGCTGCTCTTGCCCAAACGCTGAGTGGCAGCCTGCGGGGCATGGCTGGCGAAGAGGTGTGCCACCACCTGGACAGGGGTGGGTAGCAGAAGGCACCGAGAGCCAGAAACAGGAGAGAGAGAGAGAGAGAGAGAGAGAGAAGGAATCAAGTCTCTAGACCGAGGGACCAGAAAACTAACTGGCTGGACCCCCACCCTCTCTGTAAGACCACTGTCCTCCTGGCTTGCATATATTTCAAGTCAGGGTGCTCAGCACCTTCCAAGGGATCTGTCTTGTGGTAGAATGACTTTTTTCTTCAGTCTGGGGGACACAGGCACTGACTGTGTGCCTGGGCCCGACGTAGCCTATTACACACATGGTCCTGAACTCTGGCCATAATCTCAGTAAGAAGGTGCCCATTTTACAGAGGAGGAAATGGAGGTCCAGAGAGGGAGGTGGGTGAAATATGGGGGCAGGATGGGAGAACCACTCAGGGAGGGGATTAGCTGGGTAGGTGTGGCCTCTACGGGCCAGGGGAGAGACAGGGCAATCCACTGGGGCCAGCCAGGGGCGGGGCCAGGAATGGGGGAAACTACAGAGCAAGGCAAAGTTGGGTGGGTATGGGGTTAGGGTTGGGATGGAGCCAGGGACTGGCCGGGGCTAGGGCAAGCCAGAGGCAGGACCAGGCTAGGTAGGGTACCTCCCCATTTCTTGGACTGGGAGAGCAGCCTGAGGGTGGGCTGTGTGCTCTGGGGCAGGGCCAGAGCTGCAGGAGGTAAGGCCTGCTCACCCGCGTCCTGCTCCGAACGAATAGGTCCAGCACGTCCTGGCGCACCTGGTCGTGGTTCTTGTCCAAGAACTTGTGCACCTGGAAAGGGGGATGGTGGGGCAGCTTGGACTGGACCCCATCCCCACCCCATGCAGTCCAGGACAGGGTAGAAGGCTAACCCACCCCAGTGCACATCAGCCTATCTCCCCTCCTTTTCCCTTCCTTCCTACAGCCCTTGGGTGATCTTGGTCCTGCCCCTCCAGGCCTCTGTCTCCCTGTCTGTCCCAGGAGGGACTGGACCCTTCCCCCGCCATGATCCCCCATTATCCTCCCCACTTCCAGGAAAGGGGGCACTAGCCACCTTCACATGACTAGTCTGGCCCCATCTTCAGTGGAGGACACTATCCTGTGCCCATCATACAGATGAGGACAATGAGGCCCAGATGGGGAGGGGCTTAGAATCCTGGCCTGAGACAACTCCTGGGCATGAATGTGTCTGAGGTAACAGTGATGACAGTGACCACAGTGATATTACTACTGACAATAGTTACTCTTTATCAAGACCGCCGCAGCCCTAGACTTCTCACACTCACCCATGAGATGGGCACTATCATTATCCCCATTTTCCAGAACAGGAAACAGAGGCTCACAGAGGTAAAGCGATTTGTCCAAGGTTACACAGCTGAGGATCAGCAGGACCAGAGCTGCATCGGGTGGGAGTGTCTGGAGCCCATGTTGTGCTTCTATGCCTCCGACAGCCAAGAACTGTGGCACTGGAGGCCAGGAGGGCTGTCTTGGGTCTCACCTGGTAGGTGACTTTGCCTGCGTAGTGCTTGATGGTGAACTCGGGCAGTGGCATCTTGGGTTTGGAGTAGAGTGGGTTGGCGCCGTGGTGGTAATGGCACTTCTGCAGAAATGTGTGGTCTGTGGCCTGGGGACAGGGTGGGGTCAGTGGGTAGGCAGGGGGCCTGGGCACCGTTTCTGGCCTCATGGCAAATTCTCCAGCCCTGGCTGGTTCCCAGTGAGCACTGGGAAGGAGAACAAGTCACAGCTTCCCCTGGTTGCCCACTGCCCTGGGTGGGGAGGCCTAAGTGGACTCCTGCAGACAAGTGTGTCTAATTAGCTCTCAGCTGCCTCCCCTCCAGCCCAGCTGCCTTTGCACTTTCTTGTCCCACTGCCCAGAGCACCCATCCTACCCTTGTGTTTTCCAATCAGGATTTGTGGCCTAACCCCAAGGTCGCCTCCTCCAGGAAGTCTTCTATGACTTCCTAGACTGGTGTAGCTCCTCATCTGGACACCTGCAGCCCCCTATCCAACCTCAATCACCCCAGGTTGTGAATGGCATGTCCTGAAGCCCCATCCCCAGGCCAGAGCAGAGAGGGATACAGGACTCAGGCCTGATGAGGCCATGAGGCTCAGAGATGTGGAACAACCTAACCAGGCTCACACAGCACCGTGGCTCACCTGGGGAAAGCAACACTGGTCGTCGAGGATGCGCAGAATGCCATAGGGCTTCAGTGAGATGAGGTTGATGCAGGGCTGGTTGTCAGCGAAGGTGATTTCCCGCCAGTTGATCTGTTCGCGGATGTACTCCTCCTGCAGGCAGTAGATGCTCAGCCTCCTAGCCCTTGCTCAGGTCCCACCTACCCTGCCTCCCAGGCTGCATCCATCTGAAGGGACTTGGCCAGGGCCACCTCTGCTTGCACACCTCCAGGGAGCTCACTCCCTAGTAGGGCAACATAAACCATCTCTGGGCCCTGCTCCTCCCTCCACCTGGGACAGTCCTCACAGGGTGAGAGGGTGAGAAGGGTTCTCCAAGAGGGCTCTTCTCTGGGCTCAGCACCCCAGTACTTCCCACCCAGAACATAAGCCTTCACATGTGCTGGTCCCCATCTTACAATGCCTTTCCTTCCATTTGGTCTACTGACAACCTCTGATTTGCCCTGAAAGGACCAGCATATCCTATCTGTCATCAAAGAGGCCCATTGGCCAGTGAGCATGGGAATGGGAGTGCAAATGGAGGCCATGCACACCTGCTCCTCCTGGAAGATGATCTTGTTGAAAAGGTACTGGAGGTTCTCGTTCGCATAATTGATGCACAGCTGCTCGAAACTGTTGAAGCTCAGGTCCTGCCAGGCAGGTGGTGAGGCTGGGCCTGGTCCCTCCTTGGCAGCAGCCCATCTGCCCCCTCCCAAAGCCCTGCCCCCCAGCTCAGGTTCAGTGCCCTCCCTGCCTTCAATGGCCACAGCTTCAGGTCCCCTGCTCAGAACCCTCTATGACTCCTACCACACATGCCGAGAGCCTGACAGTCTAGGTCCCAATGAGAGGCAGCTTAGGTTTGGTTAAAGGCCCAGGCTCTGGAACCTTCTTCCAGGGTTCCAATCTTTCTAACTATATGACCTTGACTATATGACCTTTCTATACTATATGACCTTTCTAACTATATAACCCCTCTGGGCCTGTTTCCCCATCTGTAAAACAGGGATAATGACAATACCACCTCATAAGGTGGTCAGTATTAAGTAAATCAATAAACTAAGTACTTACAATAGTACCTGGCACATAATAGGTGCCATGTGAGTATTAGCTATCACTTTCATTATTATGAGCTTGCTTTGTCTCTCACCATTGCCCCCATCATGCACTCAACACAGTGGTGGCACCTTCCTCCCACCCCCGCAAATGACTTCCAGCTCCCCAGACACCATGGCCCACCACACCACTCAGCCTTGACATATGCTGTTCCCTCCACCTTTACTAGTTCTTAAGGAACTAGCTCAGGGACGTCTCCTCCCCTTCTAGGAAGGCCTCTTGATCCCCGCCCAGCTAAGGGCTTTCTCTCGGCTCCTCCAGCACCAGGCTGCCTCTGTCATGGCTCTGACCATATGTGTTTGTCAGTGTCTACCCCCATCCTCACCCAGTCCCTCCCAGAAACTCTCCCAGGGCAGGGCCCAGGTCTGGTCCTTTCCAGAGTCCCTCGTGTTGCCCAGCACAGGGTCTGGCACCCAGAGGCCTCAGGGAGTGCCTGTGGGTGAGTGAAGGAAATGGTAGAAGACAAGGGCGATAATAACAAGGGAGGGGGGCCCTGCATAGATAATGGTTGTGCTGTAGGCAGAGAGATGTGAGAGAGTTAAAGCTTTATGTCCCCCCCAACCCCCCACGAAACCCCACCTCAAAGCCATAGATGTCCAGGATGGCGATGGACAGCATGTCCTGATGTGGGGAGACCAGCGCGTTGACCCTGGTGATGAGCCAGCCGAACAACAGCGCATACAAGACCTTGGCGATGGCATCCCTGGAGAAGACGTGGTGTTGGGGTGGATGGGCACAGTGGGAGCTAGGCATCTGGAGGCTCAGGTGGTGGGGGTGGGGTGGGGAGGTGTGGGCTCACCTGGCATCCACGGCACTTTCCACTGTCAGGGGGGTGAAGATCTTCTCTTGCATTGTCTCCTGGTAAAGGACGTGGCCCCTGAGTGGCAGCAGGCTGGCCATCGCCTCCAGGAAGTCCCCAGACGATTGAGGTGTGTGTGTGTGTGTGTGTGTGTGTGTGTGTGTGTGTGTGTGTGTGTGTGTGTGTGTGTGTGTGTGTGTGTGTGTGTGTGTGTGTCAGGGGGTGGGGGATGGGGAAGGAGATGGTGTGACTGGTCTTAGGTACACAGTCGGCCAGGGGTGGAACATGACACCCTTGTCCCCCCTTCTGCCTGGCTATGCTGATCGGGGTGTGGCTGCTGGTCACATGGGGTGACAGAGGCATAAGCAGACATGACACAATGAGATGAGCCCTGGGAAGGGAGGAAGGGCCAGGGGTTGTCGGAAGCCTGAGGAGGTCAGGGACAACTCCCTGGAAGTGGGAATACCTATGTTGGGTCTTTAAGGAGCAGTATGAAAAGAGAAGAGCATTCCAGCCAGAGGAAACAGCCTATGCAAAGGCCTAGAGTAGGCGCTGAATGCCTTTGGGGTCTGAGGTTACCCTCCTCTGGGCCTGACTCAGAAGATGGAGGGATGGGGGAGGTGGAAGGGGGAAAGAGGCCCCCACAGGATGGAGCACAAAGCAGCTCTGTGCAGGCGCTGGCAGGGGGCTTTGAAAGAGCCCGGTGCCCAGACACTCACAGTGACTTTGAAGGTGATGGCCTTCTGCAGGCCCTCAGGGGAGATCTGCAGCAGCTCTGCCACAGCCTGGATCTCCCGGGCGCTCACCACCGAGGCTACCTCCTGCGCATCCGTCTATGCAAGACACCAACGGGAGTGTGAACTAGAGAAGCTGAGTTTAAAGTTCATATGAAAAACATAAACAAGCTAGAAGAGCCAGGAAAATTCTGAAACAGGGGTGCAGGCAGCTCTACGAGATGGTAAAACATGTTATAAAGGTACAATGATTAAAACAGTATGGTGAAAGACACATACCATGGAAATAGACTAATGAGGCACAATGGAAGTCTGGAATTAGACATAAATGTACATAGCAATTCAATACATGATAAATATGTATTTCTCAAGATAGAGGATTAGCATAATTGAGTAACTGCCTGGGAAAAAAGGAATTGGATCCCTACCTCACATCTTACTAGAATAAACTCCTGATGAACCAAAGCTTAAATGTTTAAAAAAAGACACGAAAATCATAAAAGGTCTTGAAAAATTATGGGAGAAGGCTGTCATAATTTTAGAAGGATAGGTCTCTCTAAAAAAATGACAAAAAGGCTAAAATTTATGCAAGAAAAGATTTATAAATGAAATGCCTGAAAATAATTTTAAAAGCCTGCATGGCCAAAACCAGAACCAAAACCAAACACCAAACAACCTGTAAAGTGAAAATATAACTGATAAACAGGAAACGTATTTGCAATTCATATCAGAGACAAAGGGCTGATTTCCTTAATGTTAAGGAGCTTTCATACATCAATAAAAACAACACAAACAACCCCAAAGTGGGTGGGGGAGAACTAACAATACGTGCATGGTGTAACCGGAAAGAAAATATAAATAGTTCTTTGGCCTCTGAAAAGGCGCCCTGGTCCTGCGGGTGCCAGGGCCCCACAGCAGGCGGTAGGTAGCGTTGTCTCACCTCATACTTCTCAAAGTAGACGTTGCCCAGGTGCAGGATGGAGGCCAGGATGCGGAAGATGCTGTCCTGGTCTTCTCCGCTGAAGCCCAGCACCTCCATGGCGGCCAGGAGCCGGCGAAAGTCGTCTGCATCACTCTTCCCTGAAATCTCACAATTCCCACCCTGGGCAACGGCAGGGCGAGGGGTCAGGGACCCTGGGTAAGGCCCGGAAGCCCTCAAGGTCCCTGCTCTGCCCCAACCCCACAGTGTGGCCCAAGCAGGTCACTCAGCTCCCATTCCATTCCCATAGGCCACGAGGTTTTCAGCAGATACTGTGGTAAGTGCTTTACATACATTTCCTTCCTCTAATCCTCACATATCCCTGGGAAGTCGTACTGTGCTGTCCCCACTTTACAGATGAGGAAACTGAGGCACTAGAGGGGAAGTGTAGTAGCTCCAGGCTGCTTAGTTCTGTTCTAGGCTCCAGAAAAATGAAGTCAGGTAGGCCTCCCCCTACCCCAGCTTTGGACCCCAAAGATGTCTGTCTGCTTGCCATGATGAGACACCTCAGATCCCAACTTGCCCTCCCAAGCCTCCATCAGGACACCATGCCTTGGTTCTCTCAGCCCACTGCAGTGATGGGGCAGGGGGGCCAGGGCTGGGGACCCTCGGCTGCCTGCTGGTGCTCACCTGGTTCAGGTAGTAGTAGGTTTCAGCCTCCTGAAGGCTGAAGGCTTGCCGGAGCTGGGCAGGCAGCCCGGCCAGCAGCTCGTAGAAGATGTGGTAATTCCTCTCATTTTTGGCCTGCAGAATGGGTGGATGGGTGCAGAGAGGGGAGACACCAACCTAGCTGACCCCCAGGCACACATACAGGCCCAGATGTGGCCACAAATATAAATACACACATGGGCCTGCAGGTGAGACCGGGCACCTCTGTGCTGAGTAAGCTCCCAGCCTGGCACTGGTTGCGGGGAGGGGAGGGGTGGGGAGAAGACCCGATATGGTGGTGGGGTAGGGGCTCTGGGCAGGGTTTAATTTTTTTTGGAGAAATAGAGAAAAGTGGCCCTTCTAGCATGTGTACCGGCCACATACACCTACATCCATGTGTGTCCACAGAGCAGACATGCACACACAGGCCTCCTGATGGCTCACTCGGCCAGGGTGGCTAACCACCCACTGTGGCCCGGGCCCTGTTCTAGGCCCTTGGGACACAGTGGGGAACAAGGTAGACAGAAGCCCCTGGCCTCAGGGAGCCCACCTCCTAGCTGGGGAGACAAACACTCAGCAAATCACTGGTTAAAATATAAAATATGTCAGGTGGTGAGAAGTGCTCTGGAGAGAAATAAAGCAGTAAAGGAGGTGCGGAGTTCTGGTGGGGGGAAGAGGGGCTGAATTTTTCTTCCTTCCTTCCTTCCTTCCTTCCTTCCTTTCTTTCTTTTCTTTCTTTCTTTTAGCTGAGCCATCCTGCCACCTGTTGGCAGCTCAGCGGCAACTCAGCTCGAGCCGGGAATTGAACCGGCGGCCCTGTTGCTCAGAACTCACACTCTTGAGTGAGCTCTTAACCAACTGAGCCACTCGGCCGGCTATAGAGGGGCTGCATTTTTAAACGGGACTGCTTCCCTGAGTGGATGACATTTCAGGGAAGACTGGAGGAGGTGAGATGTTTGGTTATGCAGGTGTCTAGGGGAAGAGTTCTCCAGGTAGAAGGACTACTAGGTGCAAAGGCCCTGATGCAGGATCCTGTCTGTTATGTTTCTGGGACAGGGGAGAGCCGACGTGGCTGTAGGGCATGGGGGAGGGGAGGAAACTCAGTCACATGCTCACACATACTTGTATTTGTTCATTAATTCAATGTTTCCCCAACCCGCCAGGAGCCAGGCTCTGTGTGTATCTACACACACACACCCCACCTCACCCGATGTCCCAACAGGCACCGGCCTGGGAGAGCCTGACCCACCTGAAACACAATCCTGGATTTCTCGAGCAGGTACTGGGAAGTTATGGCACCAGATATCATCCCCCTGGGATGGGAGAGCACAGTTAGCTCGCCTGGGCAGTCAGTGGGCAGGGTAGGGGTGATGGTGGCTGGTGTTGGCTCCGGGGGTCTGTGCCAGCACATGGAGTATGTTGCAAGGCCTTTGGGGGCTCCTACACTGTCCCACTCACCCTTCCAGAAAGATTTCCACAAACTTCCCAAAGCGGCTGGAGTTGTCGTTCCTGACAGTTTTGGCGTTACCGAAGGACTCCAACAAAGGTGTTGCCTCCAGGATCTGAACTCCAGAAGATGTGGGAATTACTCTGAGAGCCTAGAGTACAGAGCATGACTAGGGCCACCCCAGGTTTCCCCAGACCAGGCTTTCCCAAGGACCCCCTTTGTGAGGGCTCCCTATAGAATCCTGGGGTCTCCCTAGTGTTTCCCAATGCCCCTACCTCATGCTGCTCAACCCCTACATGCAGGCCCCAGCTACCCCTCTCCCAGCTCAGGCCTTCACAAGTCAGCTCATAGCGGGACAGGTCTTTAGCCACGGCTTCCTGCCCATCCTGCTGTCATACACGAGTGTGCGCACACATGCACACCCAGGCATGCATTTCACAGAGCCATGAGCATGCACACATACATGCACTCACATACTCCAAATACCTTTATCTTCACGAGCAGCCAGGAGAGAGGAGAGGAGAGAGGGACAGAACAGAAGCAGGTCACCTGTAGGACTGACCACCTCTCCCCCCACGACACCAGGGGCCCCAGGCTATGGAGGGACTGGCCAATCCCTTGGGGACCCTGAGGTGGGCAGGAGAGCCACCAGGTGAGAGTAAAGCCACAAGCCTCAGAGATCCCAGGTGTCTGGGCTTGGGGACTGCAGTGAGGCCCCAGGTGTGGGAGTGCTGGGTCTACCTGCCAAAAGGTTCTGGGGACATCCTCTCCACTTCCACATGCGTCACCTGGGCTCCTCGAGGGGCCTCTGCCCTGATCCTTCCTGGGCTCCCTCCAGGGGTCCTTTGAAAGCCTCTACAGGTCAAGTTCTCCCCCCATCACTCAGGCTCAAAGCCAAGTCCGTATAGTGACCTCCAAGTCCCTGCACAGCCCAGCCTCTGCTGGCCTCATTTTCTCATTGCCCCGCCCTCACTCTGCCCAATACTATGGCCCTCTTGACTGTGCCTTCACACCCAGGCACCCTCCTGCCTCTGAGCATCAGAATTCTCTCCCTCTACAGCCCTCAGCACTACTGGCAAATTCTCTCATTTCTTTGTATCTTGTCTCCTCTCACTGGAATGTCAGCCTCCACAGGCAGGAATCTGTCCGCACACCTCTGGATCCCCGGCAGCTACATAGGACCTAGTGCATAGAACACTGTACAAATATCTGCTAAATAAAAGAAATGAGGAATAGTGCTTTATGAGAGCAGAGCCACCCAGAGCACAGCTAATCACAGCTCACATTTATTAAGCACCGATTATGCGCCAGACCCTTTGGTCTAATTATATCACAGTTCACAATCCTATCAAGTAGGCACTAATATCGCCCTCATTTTACAGATTAGGAGACTGAGACTTGAAGAGGTGAGGTAACGTGCCCTGGGCGCCAGTATCTGTAAGAGTGAGAGCACAAGACCACGACAAGCATGTGCGTAGTTGTGTGTACAGTTTCTCTCTAGCTAACTTCATTTCCTCAGGATAAATTCTTAAGGGAGAAGCAGGGGAAGCCTGGTCTCTGCAGAAATAATACCTGTTACCTTGGGGACTGTGCCAGTTTCCTCCATCTGCTCACACCACAGTCCTGCTTAGTTCAGGAAATACTGTGCCCATCGCACAGAGGAATAGACTGAGGCCCAGGGAGGAGCAGGGGCTAGCCTGGGGTTGCTCAGTGAGTCAGGGTCTGCCTGGTGTGGCCTGTGCTATCCCTTAGTTCCCTTGTGGGCACCTGAGGGGGGTCAGTTGCTCTCTGTTCCTAGTGCCCACCTCAGGGCTGGGGCACACAGTCAGGGGCCAGGGACCAGGACAGATGAGCCAGGCAGGTGAAGATTGATCTGGCCCTGTGGGGCTATCAGCCCAGCCCCCAGGTGGGGTGGTGCCTGAGGTTTGGGTGAACACCATCCACCCCTACCCCATGGGGAACCCTTGTCGCATTCTTAGCCCAGTGGCTCAGGCCTCAGGTAGTCAAGGCACGACTGGGTCCAGTGAGGACACATGGCCAAAACCAGTCCAACAAGAGGGAGCCCTGAGACTTTCTGGCATGTTGGGAGGTGCTCGTTGTGGTTCAGTGGAACCATATTGCTGACCAATGGAAGGCTGGTTGAGGATGATGCCCTTACATGGGGGAGGGAGGAGCCAAGACAAGGGACATTGTTTAAGACACTGAATCCAGACATGCCTAAAAGGGACCCTAGATCCAGCCTGTCCAATTACCAGGTATGATCAAAACATACAGTGAATGTTTAAATTTTAAAAAATGTATTACAATATTCACATTGCCATTATTCCACTTAAAATACTCCCCCTCACGTAGAACACACTTATCCCATCGCTCTTGCCACTTCCTGAAGCAGTTCTGGAAGTCCTCTTTTGTGAGTGTCTTTAGTTGCGCTGTTGTGGCTGCCTCGATGTTCTGAATCAATTCAAAGTGTTTACCTTTCATGGTCATTTTGACTTTGGGGAAGAGCCAGAAATCACACGGTGCCAGAGATGGTGAATAAGATGGATGAGGACACACTGTAATGCTTTTATTTGACAGAAATTGCCGTATACCAGAAGCGATGTGTGACATGGAGCGTTGTCATGATGGAGGTGATTTACGGCACACTTTAAAACACACCTCTCTCAACCATAGCTCACACCCAACTGACTGCACCGAACAAGCTGAAACTTGTCACACACTGTTACTGAGGTTCGACATGCCCCTTCCCATATTGAAGATCCCTGTCTTTCCATTGGATGGCACTCGGCAGCCGCATTCACTGCATTTTGTGATCACAATGGAAAGGTTCCATGTCACACATCACTTTTGGTACGGCGATTTCTGTCAAATAAAAACATTACAGTGTGTCCTCATCCATCTTATTCACCAGATCTGGCACTATGTGACTTCTGACTCTTCCCCACAGTCAAAATGACCATGAAAGGTAAATGTTTTGAATCGATTCAGGACATGGAATCAGCCACGACAGCGCAACTAAAAGCACTCACGAAAGAGGACTTTCAGAACTGCTTCAGAAAGTGGCAAGAATGATGGGATAAGTGTGTTCAAAGTGAAGGGGAGTATTTTGAGGGGGAATAATGGCAATGTATCTTTTACTGTAATAAATATTTTTTTAATCTTTTTTTTTCTAAAGTCTTTTTTGCAGCTCCAAGTCAAGTAGTTGTTTCAATCTAGTTGTGGAGGGCGCAGCTCAGTGGCCCATGTGGGGATCCAAATGGCAACTGTGGTGTTATGAGCACTCTGCTCTAACCACCTAAGCTAACCGGCCACCCCTGTAATAAATTTTTAAATTTAAACATTCACTGTATGTTTTGATCACACCTCGTACATGAGCAGGGCTGAGTAGCAGTTAGGAAATGAGCCCATTGTTATCCTAGCTGGCAGGCACATCTTCACACCTACTGTGTGCCCGGCACAGAAACTTGTACAGCTGCCATGTCCCACAGCTCCGACCATGCTCCCTAACTCCTGCCAAGATGGTGCTCTGCCGTGAACTTCAGACCCCAGCTCCTCCACCCGCTCACTTTGGGACACTGGGTAAGTCACCTTGTGCTTAGTTTCCCCACCTGTGAATGGACACCCATGTACCTGCCCCAGGCTGCTGTGAGGCTCTGGAATGATATGATTGAAGGCATCGGCACACAGGAAGAGCTCCATTCACACTTTTGCCTGCCTACCTAGCCCATCTTTCCAGAAGTCTAACCTTAGAGGTTTTGCAAACCCTGACTGAAGCAGAGGGATGGTCTGGTTGGCTGCCAGGGAAGGGCTAGTAGACCAAGGTGGGCATCAGAGGGGGCTTGCCAGGAAGTAACCCTCCTAACTGCAAAGCCTGGGCTGACCCACTCCCCACTGAGGGCTGAGCAGTCCCCACCTGATGCCCCCAAGATCACCTGCTGAGACTGCCATTGGCTGGGTCACTGTGGCCCCTTGTAAACCTTTGTGGGGCCAGGGCAAGGAGTCTAAGAGTCTGGTGCTGAGCTGATGGGACTTTGCCTCCAGCCCCACCTCTGAGCTCCAGGCTCATGGTGGATCCACCACCTCCTCACCATCTCTGTGTGGACTCCCAGAAGACACTTCAAGGGCACCTCTGTTATCTCTCCACAGCCCTACTCGCCCAGCTGATGGCAGCTTCGTGCTGCCTGTGGTCTAGGTTGAATGCCTGGTGGACTGTCCCCCTCTTTTACAACCCTATCTGGTCCCTCAGCAAGTTGCTGGCTGTCCTCTGAACTGCACTGGGGTCTACCTCCTTGGCCTGAGCCACCGTCCTCCCTCACCTGGACTCCATGCTGCCACTCTGCTGTCCCCTGAGCACACCACACCTGTTTGCACCTCAGGGCCTTTGCATGTGCTCTTCTTTCCTCTGCCTGTCTGCTCTTCCCCCAGACACCCTCAGGGCCCACTCCCTCGCCTCTCACTAGGGCATACCTGACCACATTTCAAATTACAACCCCAACACTCCCCATCCTCCTCCCTACTTTTTTTCTCCACAATCTACCACCCTTTCACATATACATAATGTACTTGTGTATTATTTTTCTTTCTTTCTCCTCTACTGGAATGGAATTCCCACAAGGGTGGGCACATTAGTCGGTCCGCATTGCTGTTGCCTGCCTTTCCAGAGCACAGCTCAGGTCTAGCACACAGTAGGTCCTTAGGAAACCTCTAACATTCTCAGGTTCAGAGGACTTGCACTCTCAGCAGACCTCAATCCTGCAGACCCTGGCCTGACGGCCTCCTCAGTGCCCCAGCATCTATTGACCTCCACCTCATGGACCTCCCCACATTCAGGTCTGTCCTGTCTCTTTGATGACTAACGGAGCCACAACAGGGAGGGAGGCCAGGTGGGAGAAGTGGAGTACTCCCCTTGCTCATGTGGTCTCTGCTCTGGCCAGGCCCAGGAGAGCTGGAACCCAGAGCTGCACAGATGCAGGCAGAAGGAAACTCTGGGAGACGTTCCCTGGGAGGGCTGGCAGAGAGAGTCCCAAGTCCTAAGGGCCCTCTTGGTGCCACCCTGGGCTCAGCCTCCCCATCCTCTGAGTGAGCCAAGAAGTCTTGCCTCTTGGGGAGCACAAGGGATGCTCAGCTGAGGGCCCTGGAGACAGACAGACTCACCTGCTGCATGATGCCCCGTTTCTGGTTCATGGCGGCCAGGTAGCGTAGAATCAGCTTTGTGGCCTCAGTTTTTCCAGAGCCGCTCTCTCCACTGACCAAGCAAAGGGGCAGAGTGAGCTTCAACCAGTTCACTGCCTCTCCTGGACTCCCCCAACTGTGCCATAATGTGAGAGGACATGGACAGGCCGGCTGGCCCAGAGATGTCGAGTGATTTCCCCAGGTCCCACAGCAGGTCTGTCCTGATGCAAACCTGTTGCCTGAGGTCCCCCCATCTAGGCCCTCCCACATGCACAAAGGTACCCAGCCTGACCTGCTGCTCACCTGATGATTATGCACTGGTTCTGTTTGGCATCGAGCATTTTGGCGAAGGCAAGATTTGCAATTGCAAAGAGATGCCTGGAGAGACAGGCCACAGGGAGCACTGGGGAGGACCCCTGTGTTCATGCTTCCAAGCCGCCCAAGGGGTGGGTGGGGGACATCTCTGTCCAGCCAATTCTGTTCTCCCCACCCCACCCCACCCCACCCCACCCCCGCTTTTGGGGAAATGCTCCCTGCAATGCTCCCCAGTGTGTGGTCTGAGTCATGGTAGCCTCCAACCCAGTTGGAGCTGTGGCTAGGCTTGGCAAAAGACTGTTGGGCTGAGCAGGTGGGCTGCCCACCACCATCAGTCTTGAGTCATGGCTGAGGGGTAGCCAGGGACTCACCAAGTTCAGACAGGGACCCAGGAGAGCCCAGAACAGTTCCCTCCCCCAGCCTGAGAGACACTCACGGGGGATTCTCTCCCAGGGCCCGCCCACTGTACTGCTGCACCTGCTCCGGCCCATAGATTCCAAACATTCGGTACGGGTTCACCGACACCAGGATGCTACCGATATATGTCTGCTGGGCAGACAGTGGCCTCAGTGCCTATGGCCCCTTGCAGCCCTGTGTGTCCCTCCCTCTCCCTCTCCCAGGAGCCTAGATCCCTGTTTCCATGGGGACAGATATCTGGGTGCCTGACCTTGGGTCCTCTAAGAGCTTGATGGGTCATCTGTTCTGGTAGTAAGATTTCAGGTACTGTGCCAGGCTGAGGCTGGGAGGAGTTTGGCGTGAGCAATGCCCCACAGCCACAATTCTGCAAAGGTGGCTGTATCAGCTGCTACCTACTTCATTTATTCATCGCCAGGGCCAGGCTCCAGGAGCTTCTGCCTCATAGTGAGGTCAACCCTATACTACCCGGAGTGGGGAGGGGTCAGGATCACAGGGAATTCTGAAGGGCCCCGCACCCCTGACCGTGGTTCTGGGCCTCGGCTCTGTCATTCTGGTCAGCAACTCCCTTCCTCCCCCTGGCCGCCCCACTCCTGGAACCCAGGTCTATGGATTCTGGGACTCCGGAAGCTTTACCCAATGGGTTCCCTATCTCTAGGTCTCCACCCCTGGTATCCACCACTCTAAGACTCCATGTTTAGAACAGTGGATTTCAGAGCTCCAAGCTCTAGTATGTTGTGCTCAAATACTAGAAACCTCAGAGTTGAAATGACAGGTCACAAGTCTGAGGTCCAGTAGGAGAATTCTACGCTTCCCACTGGGGCCCCAGGAGGCAGGGAGGCAGCTGCATGCCACACCTGAGCCCAGGACAGAGCCAGCTGCATGACTCACGTAGATAAGGTTCCGTTCAAATCTGGTCTTGAGGTTGGACAGCACGGTGGTCTCCTGGAGGTCTCTGGGAGGGTAGGGAGAAGGGCAGTCAGGGTCAACTTTCCCTCAGTGCAGGGCCTTGGTCAGAAAGGCCTGAATTCAAGTCCTCTCTGGTACCAACTAGCCATGAGGCCTTGGGAAGTTACTTAACCTTTCTGTGCCTCAGTTTCTTTATTTGTCCAATGGATGTAATCACTGTCCCTACCCTCACTGGGTTGTGGATATGAGGACTGAGTTACCATGATGGGATAATGATATTGACCAGCACAGCCCTCACAGTTTAGGCACCTCCAATGTGCCAGACCCTCATAACAACAGCCATCCCACCCCCATCTTGTAGTTGAGAAACTGAGGCACATAGAGGCAAACTGATTTGCCCAAGGTTCCCCAGCTGGTAAGTGGTATGGCTGGGTGAAGCCAGGCCTGTCTGACTCACAGAGATGTACCGTGCCCACAATTGGCTTTTGTGACACTGCATGACCCTCACTTTGCAGGTAAGGAAATTGAGGTTCTGAAAATGTTCCAGGAGGTGAGAGGCACCGTGGTAGGAAAAGGTGCTCTGGCTGGGAGTGTGGCAACTCCACTGTGACCCCTCACTGATCCTGCCACCCTGCCAACTCACTCCAGTTGTGTCATGTCTTCCACGCCGTCCTCCCGGTGCTGCTCGCGGAACCGTGTGGATGGCAGGTTGCGGATGGAATGCATCTGTCAAAGAGAGAGTCTGTGGTCGCCCAGTTGGAAGGCACCCACGCATAGCCCCTGGCTTGGGACCTGCTCCTGTTGTGGAAGAGGGAACCCTAAGCCCAGGCCAGGTGGGTCCTGTGGGCCTCCTTGCCTTGAAATGACATGGCCTGTGGAGCCTGCATGCGGCCCTGACAGGTACACATGGCTGCCCTCTGCCCATGCATTCCTACGTGCTCCCAAGTGTCCTGACCCGGGGTGTGAGCATTGCACATGAGCAATGCCTTGCCGGAAGCCCTCCTAGCCTCACGCTCTCCCAGTGTTGACACCCTTCTCCAGGGTGCACTCCAAGTCTTTGCTTATGCGACTGCTTGATGAACATTCGTATCCTGGTGCATGGGGCCTCTAGAAAGGCCAAGACTGAGACTGTCCCACTCCATGCCATACCCCTGTGCCTGAGTGGGACAAACATGTAGACCCACATGCAATGGCATTTGCAGGTCATACAACTCCCATGCACACCTGTGGTCTTACAAGATGCCTGAGGACACGCGTGAAGGCCTATGGTGCCTAGATGGAGGCACATGCTCTCAACGTCCATTTGACATGTTCTCATGTGCATGGATACCTGGGGCTATCCTCACATCTGGGGGGGTCTCAAGACGAAAGTCCTGATGCCACCTTTGGGCTACAGGATCTCCTCTGTGCCTCACTGTATGTGCACATATAACCCCCCTGATGCCACAGCTACTCATACCTTGACGTTCGTGTGCACAAACAAGCTCTCCTTGTTTGGCTCTGGTATGTACACCCAAGCACACACCCCAGGCACGCAGGCCTGCATGTGACCTACATGACTGTGAGCACACGTGTGCACTTCACCTTTCCAGCCTCTCAGATCCGTCCTGAACCCCTCCCCAAGCAGATGAGGAAAGGGGACACCAGGAGGGAGCCCTGTGTGCTAAGTAGGCCACAGCAAGTATCACCCTGAGGCCCTGGCCTCCCGCCCACCCATCTGCCCAAGTGCACCAGTGGCCACAAACCCTGAATAATTCAGCCACTCACGTATTCCAGGGTGAGGAGGGCCCAGGCATCCTTGCCCCTCACCCCAGGGCGCCCCGAGGCCCGCTCCCGCAATGCTGCGGCCCACACAGCCTGGGGCACCCGCCGCCGAGGCCAGGGCCCCCCCAGCAGCCAGGCTGCCCCGGTCGCCATCATGGGGCCAGCTGGCTGCCCGTTCCACGGGGCACCGGCACCGTCTGCATAAGCTGAAAAACTCCTGCCGCCCCTGCATGCCCCGCCCACCCTAGGCGTCCCAGGGGAGGCTCCGGTGACCACCCCCTTCCCTGACGGCCACTTGGAGTCCAATTCGCATTCTGCCACCAGCGTGGCAGCCAGGCACGGGCTTGGCACCCCTCAGAAAAGTTGCTTGCCCCACATCCCACAGGCGGCCAGACTCCTGGCTCAGCACTGATCCACTGTGTGACCTCCTGGTCTTCAGTTTCCCCATTGTTCAATGAAGAGGCTGAAAGTTTGATTCCTGAGCCACTCAACTCGGGAAACTGGCCTTAAGCAGGAACCCCAGAGAAAGGGAAGACTCCCATTAGGGGGAGGGTCAGGAGGAGGCAAGAGGAACAGCATGGACATAAACATGAGGCTGGGACAGGGTGGATAGGCAAGTACTGCCGTTTTGTACTCAGCCAGAATCTCTTAGGGGTGACTGAGGATGGACGTGACATCCAGACTGGACCAGGACAAAGCTGTTCCCTTCCCCAGAGTGACCTGAGAGGAGTTTCTGGTGCCTCTGTCCAGTGCCTGTCTGGGCTGGGCATCCCCTTGTTCAATCCTCCAGAGGCTTGGGAAGCCTGGGGCTGGTCTTCCCGAATCACAGATGGGAAGACTGTGAGGCCCAAGCAGGCAGCAGTTCACCAAGGTCCTAAGGCTGTCTCCTGCCCCGTTTCCCAAAATAGAATCCCCAAGCCCTCCCTCTGAACTGCGTGCCCCCATACCTTGTTCCACCAGCTCTTGGGGCCAACCTCTTCCCAGGGGCCCCCATGGGACAGGCAGTCAGCTCCAGGATCCAGGTGGCAGGTTGCGGGGTGGTCCTGTGTTTGTGGCCAGGGTTGGTGGGTCTCTACTGACAGCCAGAAGCAGGACCAGACCAGACTCCAGGCTCTTGGCTTAGGGCTGGGTCCTGGGTCCTGGGTCAGCTGGGTGGGGGGCTGCAGAGTGGCAGGACCAACTGGCTGGGAAGAGCTCAGCTTTTGCTGGGGCATGACCACGGCACAACGCCCAGGACCTGCCTGGCGCCCCTCACCCACCTTGGATAGGGGCCCCAGGACCCCAGTGGGCGCCAAGGGGGCTGGGGCACTCGGCAGCGTCCCCCAGAGGCGCCATGGTGGCCATATGGCCCTCATCTGGTCACTTGCGGACAGTGGGTGGGAAAGGCTTAGGCTTAGCGCCTTCTGGTCTGGAAGGGAATCCTTGGGGGGCATTGAGGTTGGGGGTTCAGGCTCTGTTGGTGGCTGGGGATCCCCTTGGGGGTCCTCTTCTTTGGGTTTCTCAGGGCTGGGGCTGGCGGATTTGGCCAGCTGTCCAGGCCCTGGGTCATGGTGTCTACCCAGGAAGACACTGGTCAAATCAGAGGTTGGGTCCTCGGGCTGGGGGTCTGTGGATGGCAGAGGGCCCACATGCTGGAGGAAGGGGTTTTCAGGTATAGGGGGTGGCCTGGAAAAGCCCTTGCGGCTCCTAGCGCCTCCTGGCCAGGGCGAGGATGGGCGCTGGGTGGGAGGCATGTCCACGTCCCAGCTGGGGGCCAGTGGAGGCACAGTCCAGGGTATTTCTGAGTCCTCGGACTCACGCTGGCTCTCTGAGAGCTCAGCGGTAGCCATAGCCTCAGCCACTGCTGCCCGCCAAGACCTATGACTCTTTGGCGGGTGGAAGGGTTGGCGGACCCGGGGCTTCACGGCCCTGGTGGGCGGTGCGCTGAGGCGGCGCCACGTGTGTGGGAGGCGCGAGGGCAGGTTGAGTGAGTAGCGCCGCGGGCTAGAGTTCAGAAGAGGGGGCGGTGAGGGCTGTTGTCGGGAGCCCAGTGTGGGAGAGCGGGGTGGTCCCCGGCGCCCAGAGACTGGGCGGCGTGGGAACAAGGGCTCCCGCAACGAGCGGGGACGGCGGGGCAGCGGAGAGAAGGGCGGCTGGAAGCGGCCGGCGCGGATGGAAGGCTGAGGGGACCCAGGCCCCAGGGGCGAGCGGTAGCCCAGGCCCGGCAGGCTCCTCAGAGAGGGCTGGGGCGAGGGTAGGGGTGGCCAGGCCTGCCTCTGCGACGCCCTTGGGGAGGCGCCAGGGAAGCCAAAGGCTGCCCCTCGCCGGCGGGAGCCCTGGAAGGAGGGTCGGGGTACGGGAAAGGCCAGCAGGTCGGGGGGCACCTCGGGGCTCACAGGAGGGGGCTCCACGAAAGCCCACCAGTTGGCCTGCGGTGTGAGCGGCACATGGGCCGGGGCGGCCCAGGGCGGCGGGTGGCGGCGGAGCGAGCCATAGGGTGAGGCTGGCCGGGGCAGGCCAGAGTGGGCCGGGGAGACCGGGGCATCGGGCAGGGGCCCGGGGCTGGGGGGCCGCCGGGGCGCAGGCGGGGAGAGCAGCGCGCTCCAGTGGGCAGGCGGCACGGGCGCGGGCACGTGGTGCGAGTTGTTGTTGTTGCGCGTGCGCGCCTCGGCCCTCCTCAACATGATGGGCGTGTTGGGCCGGTCTGGGTCCATGCCTGCCAGCTTGTAGCCGAAGCGCTTGTAGGCCGCCTCCCTGACTACCGGGCTTCCCAACCGGGTCTTCTGGCTGCCCCTGAGCCGCTGGACGGGCTTCTTTTCCGACAGCGTCTTTTTGAGGAAGCGCGCCAGCGAAGTGGCCGAAGTGGCTGGGCGAGGTTGGGGGAGGCCAAACTCAGGGCTGAAGCCCAGGCCGTGGTGGATGCGGTGGGCGCCGAAGGCCGACAGAGCGCGCTGAAGGTTGCGCTGGCGCGGCGTGAGGAAGCCCCAAAACGGGTGTGTATAGGGCCGCGTGGGCACGGGAGGCACCTCTTCCTCATCCTCGTCCGCATCTCCCAAGGGCAGGGGGATGTCCAGGGAGGGGGGCAGGGGCACCTCCAGCTTCTCCTTCCCAAACAGCTTCACCTGGGGCCGCGGGAAGAGGCGGAACCTGCGGATAAGGGAGAGCTTGGACCTGGCGGGCTTGTCCATGCCTTGCTGCTCGAAGAAGGCTGCGCTGGGCAGGCGGAAAGAGGTGCCCTGCCGTTCCCGGGCCGTCTCCTCCGAGTCCTCCAGCTCCTCCAGCTCCGAAATGTCATCCATGGGGTGGGCGTAAGGGTTGTGGGGTGGTGACAGGAGGGACGGCGGCACCCATGGGTATGCAAAGGCCGACTCCTCCGGATAAAGGTAGGGCACTTCGGGGGCGTAGATGGCCTGGTTCCCAGCACCATAGACGCCTTCGGGGTAGGGGACGCCATAGGGTGCTGCATAAGGCATCCCGTAGGGATCAAAGGCGGGGACCTCGTATGGGAGGTCGTACGGGAGGTCGTAGGGTGGGTATGGAGCATGGTAAGGTACGAAGGGGTCTAGGTAGTAGCCAGGTGGGTACAGCTCGCCCTCGTAGGCATCGTAGTAGCTGTAGGGAGACGCGTACCCTCCTGGGGGCGCGTAGGGGGGCTCGTAATCGTCGTAGCCGTAGCCGTAGCCATAGGTGGACATGGGGTAGTAGAAGCCACCATAATAGTCAGGGTGGTAGTAGTCGTAGGGGTCCTCGGGAGGGTACCCATAGGAGTGGTCTCCGTAGGGTGGCCAGGCTGGGTTGTAGGCACCATAGGCGGCCAGGTAGGGCTCTTGCTCGTCCTCATACTGGTAGAGTGACTGCTGGTCGTAATAGTCGTCGCCCTCGCGGTGGTAGTCATAGTACTCGCCAAGGTCTTGGAAGCCCTCTAGCCCGTACAAGGACTTGCGGGAGCCCGCGTGCCGGAAGGGTGCCTCGTCCTCAAAGGGCAGGAAGCCCACCGGCTCACCTGATGCGTAGATGCTGCGGCTGCGGGGAAACCTCCGCAGGCGGCCTCCAGGCCGCAGGATCTCGGCGCCCGATGGAAAGGGCAGCTTGCGGGAGCCCACGTGGGAGCCGGAGCGACTGAGCCAGGCATCCATTGTGGTGTGTTCGCTACCGGACTCTTCGGCCTTCTTGATGAGGAACCTTTTGGTGAGCCAATTGATGGCTGTGGACGCTTTGCTGACCGACCGGGCGCGCGGCCGGAGGCGGCCATAGCCACGCCTGCCGGGAAAGCGGATAACCATGAAGGACGGCTTCTTGCCCTTCATCGCGCGCTTCTTCTTGCCCATGCGCATCTGCGTCATGAGCTTCGACGTCGACTGGAGCACCGTGCGTGCCTTCTTCTTGCGTTTAGTCTTCTGGGGGCCGGTGTGGAGGCCCCAGAAGAAGGCCGACGCACTCCGGAACTGGCCCTTCTTGGAGATCTTGGGTGTGCGGTCTCGGAAGCCCATGAACAGCCGCGATGTCCCCTTCAGGCTCCGTTTGGGTTTCTCCGGCTCCTTCTTCTTCCCCCTCTTCCTCTTGGGTTTCTTCTCTTCATCTTCGCCATTCGGCATGGTGGCTGCCTGCTCCCCACCGGGCTGGGATCACAAACTCAGGGACTTAGAGACAAGGGGACCTGCTGGGTCTCCTGCCTGTAGCTGCACAGGCAGCCTCCGGTTCTGAGTCGCCAGGACTGGCGTGGGTGGCCTGGGAAGGGACAGCTAAGTTGCTTCTGGCCGGGACCTGGATTCTGAGAGGACGGATCCATAATTTATTTCCTCCAAATGCCGCCTTGGGTTTCACCCTCAAGCCGTGGTGGAAAGTGTGTGGGTGGTGTTTACCCCAGAGCAGGGGAAGCCTGGCTGAGGCCTGTGCTGGGGGAGACCATCTTGGCATTCAAGTTGCCTTGAGGACCACTGTGCTGACACAGGTCAAGCCCTCCCAGTGCCTCAGCCAGTTCAGCCCACCAAAGTGAGTGCTTGGGTCACTGCCACTTTACAGAAGATACAGTCCCAGAGAGAGGAAGCCATCTGCCCTAAACTGCCCTGCACATCTATACTGGGCCAGAAGTGGACCTGTGTTTCCTGAGTCAGGGTGGGATGTTCAAAACCCACCATGTTGCCTTGGAGGGGAACCTTGGACCATCCAGGTCCTGGGAAAAGGAGGAGGGGAGTGGGCAGGGCAAGTGCCCAGGGCTACGGTAAGTGTAACAGGAGCTGGCTGGCTCTTGGGAGTGTAAATAATGCATTGGGAGAACTGGGCTGCCAGCTCAGAAGGCAGGGCAAGGTGGGACCATCTCAGTAGAACTCCAGCAGGGCCTTGTGAGGCTACATGCCAGGGACTGGGAGAGCAGAAACGGGACGAGTCAGGCCTGGCTGTGATTCCCCAGCTCTGCTACTGACTGGCTATGTGGTCTCAGGAAAGCCCTTTGCCCTCTCTGGGCCTCAGTTTCTTCATCTGTAGGATGAGAGTGATAAGTCGTGCCCTGTCTTTTTCACAAAAAGGGAGCAAGACCTGATGGGGCTGCTGGGTAGCATAAATGGCTGGAGATGCTACATGTGTGGCTCATATCTGAGGTCCCTGGCCTCTCCTCTCAGTCTCTGCCCTTGCTGAGAAGGCAATGGCCATGTGACCCCTACCCTCTCTGGGTGCAGCTGATTGTTCCAGAGTGGACACTTCACCCAAGGCCATGTGCCCACTGTCTGTCCAGTGACCAGTCCACTTTTGAGAATCTGCACTATAAGAGGTAGGAGCTGTGGCTTGTTAGATGAAGGGGGTGGGAGGGAGAACTTGGGTGGCAGCTCTGGGGTTTGAGGCCTCAGAAACATTCCTCCTCTCCCTCTCACCCCCTCTTTTTCTTCCTCTCTCTGCCCAAGGATTAAGGATCAGTACATACAGGACTCAGGGTGTCTGAAGAGAGACCACCAGCTAATGTCAGGCTCCCTATTCACTGAATTTCTGTTTAGTCCCAAAGCAAATTGGTCCTTTAAGGTTTTGCATAGAAGACCCCTGGTTCTGCCACTTGCTGACTCCATGCCTTCAGGTGGCTTCAGACACTCAGCCTGCTCAGCTATGAAATGAGGGCAGTGAGAGGCCCTTCTCAGACAAGGGGTGAGGAATGGAGAGGTGGATCTGCAAGTGAGCAAGGTCTCTTTCTCCCCATCTCCTCACTTCCTCTGCCTCTTCACTTTTCTCCTCTTGTCTCTGTTCCGCCTCCCCCAAGATTCACTGAGAGCCAGTCAGGTGCCCAGCAATTCAGGAAGGGGTCATGCCAGGGGCTGGTGGTGCCTGCTGCAGGCAATCCCCAGGTAGCAGAAAGGAAACTTGATGGAAACCAGAGCAATCAGGTGGCTTCCAGGGGTGGGGATGGAGCTTGTGCAAGAACTGGGTCTCCCGCAGTGTGGGATTTTGAGGGGGCATCCACTCTCCCCATCACCTCCTATGCTGCCTGTTTTTCTGCCTCGTTCTGGGCTGTGGCTGCTGCCCACTTGAGGGAAAACAGAGTGGGGCCAGGGGCGTCATTCTATCTGAGCCAAGATGCTAACAGCTACCCCCGCCCCTCCTGGAGCGAGTTTCCAAATTGAGGCCCCAGTCACTATTATCTTAAGAGATTCTCACAACAGGTACCTGGGATGGGAACTATCATCTTCATTCTCCAGATAAGGAAACTGTCTCAGAGAGGTAAAGTGACTTGTTCAAGGTCACCCAGCTTGGAGGGTAGAACCAGGCTCGGACCTAGGACTGGGTGGGTCCAGAGCCACCTTCCTTGCTATGCTCTCCTGCCTGCTGGGCTCCTGGGTACTTGGACCATCATGTAGGAGGGGAACTGGGTTCCTCAGTCAGCCTGGACCCTGACCCTCAGGGTCTTATAGCCAGCATACATTTGCCTGGTCGTTCATTTGTTCATTCAGAAGTATTTGTTGAAAGCCTGCTGTGCACCAGGCCCTGTCTAAGCACTGGGGATACAGCTGAGAACAAAACAGATAAAAATCATACCCTTGTGGAATTGACATATGTAGGTGGGGAGTTATCAACAAATGAGGAAGCATAAATAAAAGATGTAATTGGTCAGGTTGTTAATAAATGTTGGAATTGAAATATGCTAAGCAGGGAAGGGGCATGAAAAAGTGGTTGTGTGTGTGAAACGTTGAATAGGGGTTGGGGATGGCCTCACTGGGAAGTGACCTTCGGGCCAAGAGCTGCAGGATGAGAGGGAGGGGGCTCTAAGGGCAGCACAATGCTCCTGATGTGATGTAGGCACAGTGAAGTCAGGGTGACAGAAGTGCAGTCAGGCAAAGGTGGGAGGTGAGGTCAGAGGCTGGGGCTAAATGTACAAGGCCTTGTGGGCCCCAGTAAGGACTTGGCTTTGACTGTGAGTGAGGCCAGAGCCGTGGGAGGGTTTTGGCAGAGAAGGGGTGGAACTGGGCCTCAGTCTTCACAGGATTCCCCTGGCTGCTGCAGGGGCCCTGGAACAGTCTGGAGGCAGTGGGGGTGGAGAGAAGTGGTGGGATGCTGGTATATCTTGCAGGCAGAGCCAACAGGATTTACAGGGGAGTCACAGTACCTCCCAAGATTTCCTTACTCAACAAAGGGAGGATGGAGAGGCCATAGCTGAGATGAGGAAGGCTGTAGGCAGAGCAGGCAGAGGAGGAAAGACCAGACATCAGCTTTGGATGTGTTGGTTTCAGATGTCTGTTGGGCACTGCCAAGGAGGTGGGCGGGGGGTCAGGACTGATGACATCACTTAGGGAGTCAATTGCACCTAGGTGGTGTTGAAGCCACAGTTCTGAAAGATGACACCAGGGAATGAGTGCAGATAGAGAAGAGGCCCAAGGAATGAGCCCTGGGGCTGCACTGTTTGGGGCCCAGGAAGTGGTAAGTGGACGAAAAGGAGGGCAGGGCAGCTGCTGCGGCAAAAGGGCACATGAATCAGGTTACTTGAGGACAGAGAGCCAACCACTGGAAGGAGCTACTTAGAGTGACAAGGGTGGTCCCAGTGGAATGGTGGGGGCAAGGGGTTTACAGGCTGATGACAAGGGGTTCAAGGAAGAAAGGACTGGGATGGCCGAGTGGCGCGTTGGTTAAGAGCTGGCTTGGGACGCTGGCTCTGAGCAGCAGGGCCCTGGTTCATATCCCACATGAGGGACAGTGAAACTGCCTTCTGCAGCTAAGATGCTGAACAAAAGCTCAACCTGGAGCTGGGCTGACGTGAGTTGCCGCAGCGTAGGCTGCAGTGGGCTGCTGTAAAGCTACTGTGAGCAGCTGGCAGCCGGCGTGAGCGGCCAAGAGCCACCGTGAGCGGCTGTCCAGTGGCCTGCGACCAATCTGCCTCACCCGGGAAGAACACAATGATAATACCAACATGGGCCAGTGAAGCAACGTCCTCCACAACTAGACTGAAGAACAAAAGGACAGCAACTTGTCTGTTCCCCTCTCCCAATTCCCCAATAAAATCTTAAAAAAAAAAAAAAAAAAGAAAGGACTGTGGTGGTCACCGGTTGTGTGTCCCCGTGAACATACCAAAACCCACTGCATCATACACACTTTAATGGGTGAACTGCATGGTGTGTGGGTTATATCTCAACAAAGCTGTTACCAAAAAAGGAGGGGAGGGGCCGGCCGAGTGGCTTAGTTGGTTAAGAGCTGGCTTGGGATACCAGCTCTGAGCATCAGGGCCCTGGTTCGGATCCCACATTAGGGCCAGTGACGCTGCGCTCTCTACAGCTAAGATGATGAACAACAGTTCAACCTGGAGCTGGGCTGCTGTGAGTTGCAGGCTATAGCATAGGCTGCAGCAGGGCTGCAGTGGGCTGCTATAAAGCTACCGTGAGTGGTTGGCAGTTGGCGTGAGCTGCCAAGAGCCACTGTGAGCAGCTGTCCAGTGGCCAGTGACCAATCTGCCTCACCCGGAAAGAGCGCAATGATCACAATACCAACATGGGCCAGTGAAGCGATGTCCTCCACAACTAGACTGAAGAACACAAGGAGAGTAACTTGTCTGTTCCTCTTCCCGGATTCCCCAACACTGTTCTCCCCCAATTCCCCAATAAAATCTTTAAAAAAAAACTAAAAAAACCCCCATGAGCTCTGAGCAACAGGGTCGCTGGTTCTATTCCCACATGGGCCAGTGAGCTTCACCCGAGTTGTGCTCGAGCTGAGCTGCTGCTGAGCTGCCAACAGGTGACAGGATGGCTCAGCTGGTGAGAGCACGTGCCCCTAATGACAAGACTGCCTGTTCGATGGTGGGCTACGCCACCCGTGGCTGGGACCGAACTTGGCACCTTGAGCTGAGCTGCCGCCCGGATGGCTCAGTGGATAGAACGTGCGCTCTTAACAGCAAGGTTGCCGGTTCGACTCCTGGGGGGGGAAAAAAGAGGGTAGGAGGGAGAAAGGCGCCCGTTGCTAGGAGTGTCCTATGGAGCCTTGTGCACACGGGGAATCGCCTACATACCAAACCACTCATCGCCACAACACGCCATGTACATCCCACAGTGGAGTACTACACAGCTGTAATAAAAACATGGAAGATTTTGTGTACAACAGGAGAGGCCCAGATCTGCTAATGAATGGAGCA